GGAACATAGTGCACGAGAGGATGCAGACTGCAGAGTTCTGGATAGCCTGGAGTTCGTGGAGGGTGAATCAGGGCAGGCCAGCAACAGGGCATTGGAGACATCGAATCTGGGCAAAGGAGTGGATGACAACGTTCTGCCTCTATCAGCCTATTGGGCATCTCTCAAAATTCTCAAGTTGCAGAAATAAACCTACAATGCCACGAAGACTTTTGGTCAACAGGTCCAGAACAACAGATGGGACTTCAGACCCTTGGTACTTCATACATACGCCCAAATCATTCCAATTAAGACAACATGAAAAAGATCCAAGGCAACACATTGGAAATACAATAAAAAATCTTGACTAGACAGTCAAATACTGATGCCAAGCCCCTAGGTATCGCAAAGACATGCAATATATATATATCTGTCCTCCCGACGTGAAAGGTGCTATACAAATGTAATCTTGTTGTTGTATTATACAATAGATCACATTAACACAGAATACAGAAGATTCATCACTGCACTAACTGCCTCTCCCGAACCAGATCCCGAGTTTCAACACAACTCAAGTTCACTAAATATCAACTTCAAAGGAAAAATCTGCATTCAGCCACTACACCCTGTCCTCTGGAACTATTCCCAAACCACTTTGCTAGTTCTCTCCATCTCTCCATTTTCAAATATCTCACAACATGGTAACATTTCCAGTATGACTGAGTAGAGGCAACAATTCAAGATCTGGAAGAACTTGCATTTTTACCAGACCTTATGTCAAAGGGCCTCAAAGAGCTTCATAAGTAATTACTGCAAGTGTAGTGACTTTTTATAAGTACACATTTGATGTAGCCATAAGGTGAATGGTCAATTAGTCTGGAGAATTGGTGGAGAGGATATCAGGAGAGACTCTCTTCTCTCTTGAGTTGTGTCACACCTGACCGTTGATGTACTTAATGGAAACTCGTGCTAATGTCTCTTGCCCCACTTGCTCCTCACATCGCTCCACACTTCCCATCTTTGCAAACCCTTGCACACCATGACCACATCACTAGAATATGAATGAGATCAGCGCATAAACCCCTCAGGCAGGTTGAGGATAGTACAATGCACAGTAAAGGCGCATTGATGTCAGGATTGTGGTTCAACAAATATGGTAAACATCAATAGGAAATGCACATCTAACCACAGTATTTGATCACAGTACTGACTCCAGTACCTTGAGACATCCTCCCGACGTGAAAAGCGCTCTATAAATTTAATTTTGTTGTTGATGTCCAGAGTTTTGAATAAACCTACATGTAAATTCGATTATTATGTAAATTAGGGCTTTGCAAAAATACAAAAAGTGTTATTTACAGTACGTTTAACTAATGGAGGGTTGGTATTGGCGGCATATATGTATTGTATAGTGTCTGTTGGTAACACTCTCACTTCTGCATCAGGTTGTGTGTTCAAGCCCTACATCAGGTAATAAATTAATTAAGGGTAATAATTCCTTCAAAAAAATTATAAATTGGTGACTCAATCCATGACTGTTTGTGGGACACTGCTGTGTGCAATGCGTTTCTCCCACAAAATATACAGTCACTACACTTTACAGTATATTCTGTGAAGCACTTTGAGACGTCTCGAAGACAGGATAAGGCGCTATAGCAAGTGCAAGAATTAATTATTATTATCAAGACTTTGATCTCACAGTCCAGCACACAGCTGGAGGAGCGCAGTATTGTCTGAGGTGCTGTTCTTTAGATATGGGAAACCGAGTTCCTGTCTGCTAGTTCAGAAGCACGTTAAAGATCAAAGGGAGTTTCTCACTGTTTCTTGGCCAACAATCCCCCAGATAAAATTGGTCACTCACCTTATTGCCTGTTTGTGAGTCATAGTTTGCGCAAATTGACTGCTGAGCTGCCCTACAAATACACAGCCTCTACACTTTACAGTAAATCCTTCAATATACTTTGAGACATCTCAACGAAATGATAAGCTGCAATATCAAATGAAAAGATTGTAAGGGTTATTAAAGTAAACAATTGGCTGGACTTTGGCATCATGGCCTGGAGTGGGCTCCTATTTACTGCCAACCTCATCCACGTGGAAATGGCAGCAACACAAAGCACAACCGTATTACCCCATAAAGTGTTTCTGCAAGCGCATTCTGTCTGAGAACCTACACACTGGTGATCGAGCAAGGAATGAAACCATTCATACCTTGGAGAGGTAAATGTAACACTAGCAGCGCCTGGGGTCAGCGCCTCCACATTTACATCCCATCTCCAGAGGCACAATGTCAAGTGACTGCTAGGATAGCAGCAGGTGAACTAGATGGACCTTGGTCTTCTTTCGCCTAGCAAATTCTTATGTTCTTATGCACAAGATAAATGCCCCAGTACACTTACTGCCAAAGCCTGTGCTTGTGTTCTCTCCGATTCTAACCCATCCTCTCATGAAGATGCCCACTGGTACCAGCTCAGGAAATCGGTACGTCACACAAATGATCACTGTTCAATAGGGGGGGACTAACAGCCATCCAGAGTAAAAGCAACTGAACTTTTGTCTGCTTGGCAAAGTGCATCCAGCAGTGTGTCCAACTGACTCGCACCATCCACCCCGTCCCTGTCTGGCAGTGCCCCCCCTCCACATGTGACAACACCCCCTCCCATTTGTCAGCATCCCCTCCACACCCTCGTCCTACAGAACCCATGTGTACATGTGTCTGTGTAGCTGTGTACATGTGTATCTTTGAGTACATGTGGCTGGTGTTCCCCTTCAGCGGGTATTAAATGGACTTTTCTCTGCGTCCGTGGTCGTTACACATGCGCTGGTTGGTTTGCTTGAAGTGGTCTGGTACCTATGAGATGCCGAGCCTCTGCATACTCAGATCCAGACTGAAAACAGCGCAAATGATTGTAAGCAATCATTAGATGGCCCCAGGTTCCTATCTGCCTTACACTGGATCCTGAGGTTATATTACAGCCAGGTCATTACACACACCAAGGATTTTTAAACGAACCGTTCATTTCATTAGGGCGTGTTCAGGTGGACATTGTTAGTTACCTGAACCCCAAGACTGAGGCACTCCACAATTACACCACGCTGCCTCACTCGCTTGCACACCAGCAACGCCACTCAGGGCACATCTGTGTTTATATTTGCAATAATAATAATAATCCTTGCATTTGATATAGCGCTTTTCACGTCGGGAGGACGTCCCAAAGCGCTTCACAGAACACACTGTAAAGTGAATTGACTGTATATTTGTGGGCGAACGCGGCAGCCAATTGCGCACAGCAATGTCCCACAAACAGTCATATGCATTGAAAATGACCAATTTATTATTGTTTTCTGTTTTTGGAGGGATTATTATTAGGCTCTGTGTGGAGTAAGGAAACTTGCCCAAGGTTTCGCCCTCTGCCTGGAATTGAACTCAGGTCTCTCACTTGCAAAGCGAGTGCTCTAACCACTGAGCTACGGGACTCCACAATAGTCACACCAATTCCACGATTGGATCGATCACACCTGTCGTACGGTTGTTGTGTGGACAGGGAAAGGGGGAAAAGACTCAGTTGGACACTGGCCGAATAGCAACAGGAAGACGAGAAGCCGATTGCATTATCAGGTATGACCTACAGTGACAGGAGGCACAATATTAGTGTCTGCGCAGGTTACACAGGTTACTGGGTATAGCTCTGAGCACTGTTAACTACTTATACGGCCATTGCAGCCAATGGCTGACCAGTGTATTCACACCAGTTCAGCAATGACCTGCCTGCTCAGACCAGCCTGGTTACAGCTCAGATTTACAGCCATCTCACTAACTATGAGATCCCGTTGCCGGTTTCCCGAGTTACTACACACACACACACCCTTGCGCGTGTTACACGAGGCGAGTTGTGATTTACTTGGATCGGCTGCGTTTGCTACAGCGTCTGTGCATCAGCTGCACTATTCCTTGCACTCGTTACACCACACACACACATCAGTTGGACCAGAAGTTGTGTCAGTTGCGCTGTAAGTCACATCAATGACACTATTGCTGAGGTCAGTTGGATCAGTCAGTTCCATCAGTTACTTGAGACAGTCGTACAGTTACTTGAACAGCTATACTATTGACTGCTCAGTAGTACTAGTTAGTTGAATCAGTTGCAGCAGTTATTTGAGTGGTTTCACTCGTTACTGGAGTGAGTCACTTGTTACTAGAGCTGTATCACTAGTTCCTGAAGTGTGTCACTGGCTTTTGTCATGTGTCACACCAGTTATTGTGGTTTCACTAGTTATTGCAGGAGTTTCACCAGTTACTGTAGTGGTTTCACCAGTTACTGTGGAGAGGTCACTGGTTACTGTATTGGTGTCACTAGTTACTATAGTCACTGTAATAGCGGCGCTGATGTCACTAGTTACAATAGTTGTGTCACTAGTTACTGTAGTGAGGTAATTAGTTACTGTAGTGAGGTCACTAGTTACTGTAGTTACTGTAGTGATGTCACTGGATACTACAGTGGTGTCACTAGATACTGTAGTGAGATCACTTGTGGCTGTAGTTACCGTAGTGAGGTCACTAGTTACCGTAGCGAGGACACTGGTTACTGCAGTGAGGGTACTATAGTGAGGTCATTAGTTACTGTGGTGGTGTTGCTGGTGTCACTAGTTACTGCGGTGGTGGTGTTACTAGTTACCATGGTTACTGTAGTGATGTCACTAGTTACTGTAGTGAAGTCACTAGTTACTATGGTTACTGTAGTGATGTCACTAGTTACTGTAGTGAAGTCACTAGTTACTATGGTTACTGTAGTGAGGTCACTAGTTATTGTGGTTACTGTGATAGTGTCACTAGTTACTGTAGTGAAGTCACTAGTTACTATGGTTACTATAGTGAGGTCACTAGTTACTGTAGTGTGATCACTAGTTACTGTGGTTACTATAGTGAGGTCACTAATTACTGTAGTGAGGTCACTAGTGACCGCGGTGAGGTCACTAGTTACCGCGGTGAGGTCACTAGTTACCGTGGTTACCCGGACACTCACCTGCCTGGACGGTGTCGCTCAGCTCGAGAGCGGCGGCGCTCCTCGGCAGTTCCTTCAGTTTGCGGCCGCTCAGGCTCAGGCTGCCCGAGGCCGCCGCCTCCTCCACCGCGCGCTCCACACTGCGGCTCACAGGCGCCGCCATCATCCGCTCCCTCCCTCCCTCCCTCCGCCCGCGCGCTCCCCGCCGCCCTCCCGCCGCCCTCACTCCCTCCCGCCCTCACTCGCTCACACCCTCTCACCCGCTCTCCCGCCCCGCGCTCCCTCCCCGCCTGTGGCCGCCGCTCATTGCTCGGTGCGCACCCGCCAGGACGCCCCCAGCCAGGCCAGCCGGAAGTGAGGCGCCGGCGGCTGCAACAGCGCCACCCGCCGGCCGTTCCCTAACATTGCAGCTCAAACTGCGGTGGCTCAGCGCCGCCCGCAGGCCGCTCACTGGCATGACAGCGCCGGGTGGTTACAGCGCCGCCCGCAGGCCGCTCACTGGCATGACAGCGCCGGGTGGTTACAGCGCCACCCGCAGGCCGCTCACTGGCATGACAGCGCCGGGTGGTTACAGCGCCACCCGCAGGCCGCTCCCGGACATTGCAGCGCCGTGCGGTGAACCACTGAGTGGGGGACGTTGAGTTTGCTTGAAACTCAGGTCATTGCAAGGTGACCCACTTGGCAAAGGGATCAAGTTGATCCCCTGCGGTAGTTTCGGTAATAAGAAACATCTCTGCATTTTATACTGTGCCTTTCACATGAGGACAAAGTAAAAGTGACAAAGCCACTGTGTCGCAAAGCTCTGGAATACTTCTATTCCCTCCCTCCGCCTTGCTCTCGCTTCTCGCTTCCCCATTTTCAGGTCGCACCTAAAGATCTTCCTCCTCAACCGTGTCGACAGTCACCTTCCCCTCCCCACCCCCCACCCCCGTCATGCTCTGCCGCTGTCAAGAGTTCTGGGACACTACCCTGTGTGGAGGGCGAAACCTTGGGCAAGTTTCCTTACTCCACACAGAGCCTAATAATAATCCCTCCAAAACCAAAAACAATAATAAATTGGTCATTTTCAATCTACGACTGTTTGTGGGACATTGCTGTGCGCGATTGGCTGCCGCGTTCGCCCACAAATATACAGTCAATTCACTTTACAGTGTGTTCTGTGAAGCGCTTTGGGACGTCCTCCCGACGTGAAAAGCGCTATATCAAATGCAAGGATTGTTATTGTTGTTGTGTGAGGGGTGCTCCATAAATGAAATTGTTGTTGTTTGGACAATGCACGCAATATCGATCCACAACGGCCATTAAAGTGAATGGCCGATTTTATTTGGGGGATTGTTTGCCAGGACACACGAAAGAACGCCCTTCTCTTCAAATAGCGGCATGGGATCTTAACATCCATATGAACAGGCAGATGGGACCTTTTTTTAATAGCTCATAATGGCAGTACATGAACGATTTGAACGCTGACATAGGAAGTATGGAAATATAATGTTGAATTTCACTGATGACAACAAACCCCTTCCTTGAGGGGGTATAGATAATGATGGGGACCGCAAAAAGATGCAGGAAAATATAAACAGGCTTGGAAAATGGATGGGTGGATGAATTTCAGTATAGAGCAATGTGAAATAATTGACGTTGGTAGGAGGAATAAAGAATCCATTTGTATCTTACATGGTTTTATGTGTCAGCCTGGTTCAGTTGGTAGTTTACTTACCTCTGAGTCAGAAGGCTGCGGGTTCAAGTCCCACATTGGGACTTTGAACTCACAGTCGGGGCTGACCTCTAGTAGAGTGCTAGTGGGATGGGGGGGGTTACATTGTCAGAGTTTCCATTCTTGAAATGAGACATTAAAGCTGTTGGCAGGACACAGGGAGGAAATACCTTTATGCTGGGATCTTTAATGTTCATCCAAATAGACACACTGTACCTCAGTTTAGCATCTGATCCGAAGGACGGCAACTCCGACAATGCGGAACACCACAAGCATTGTAGTCGAGAGTCAGTTTAGACTATAGGACTTCAAAGTCCCAACTTTGAGGGTCTTGAACCCATAACCTTCTGACTCAGAGGTGAGAGTGTAATCATACTGCGTACCTTTTTACTCAGAGTGTGGTAAGAATGTGGAACTCACTGCCAAAAGTCAGGTTTGTAAGAAAAAGCACCAATGTATTTAGGAGTAAACTTGATTCATAAATGACATAGAGTGTCATGTGAGTGATATTGAACATTCGCACTAATCCAGGTGAGTTATCTATTTTAAATCAATGTTTTATTTACAGTTTTTTTCTTGATTGAATCAAGAAATTTTATTTTGTTGGCCGACCAAATGTGAGCTCCAAGTCTTGATGTGGGGCTTGAACATACAACCTTCTGATTTAGAGGAAAGAGTGTTACCACTGAGCCAGGCTGACATAATTTCACATAATGTATGTTACTTCTGTAGACTTTATGGAATTTCCCACAGATTTCTTCCTCTAATCATTTCCACTTATTTGTGGGCTATAAAGACTGCTAACTTTGTTGCAGTGTCCTAACAAGGGTAGAATTTGTTATTATTTTAGCGTTCCTTGTGCTTATTTAAAATTATTCGATATCTACCAGTAGACAGAGTGACCTCCTAGTCAGTGGAATCCCAGCTTCTGTTTCATTCAAACAACCATTATTTTTAATTGATAAGTTTTAAAAAGTAATTTTTGGTCAATGGGGTGTCTTCTAACTTTGTTTATTTAATATTTGTTTCCAAGGGTTGATTAACCCAGGAGGATGTGAAATTCACACTGTTCCCAACCCAGAAATAACTTTTATGCAATGATCAAACTTAACCCTGCCCTAAAAGTTTAATTCACCACTCTCCCTGCCTTACCTTCCTTGTTGGCCTTCAGTGGCCAGGGATATCAACTTTGCCTGTTTGACACCTGCGAGCAGAAGAGAGCTTATTTGCTATCTTCTGTTCATGGGATTCAACCAATTACATAGTCAGCACCAGCATTTTTTAAAAAACCCGATAAATGGCAGTACTGGCTTTGTAATTACACGTGGCCGGAAATTCCATCTCGTCTGTCCGGATCTCTCCCCCATTTGTCTTGCTAACCAGGGTTGTAATGCATATTGAATAAAGCAAATCAATTGTGTTTGTGCTGGGTCCCATTGAAGACAGCATTGAGTTTGTACTGAAAAAGTATTTATCCAGAATTGAGAGAATTGTTGATTTTTTTTCTGATTCTCACTTGTGCTTCTGGATTGAACTATCAGAAAAGGGGAAATACAGAGCGGTCATTGGTCATGACATTTTTAACTACAACACACTTAACAGATGGTCAGCCGGTTGTCAACTTTGTCATGTACAAAGAGGAACTCCAATACTGTAAGAAACTGAAAGTGCACATCAAAATATATTTCACCATATTTCCATTACATTAAAACACTGCTGTGTGTTGGTTGCCACGTTTCATCCACAAAATACACTGTCAATCCATTTTACAATAAATCCTGTGAGATGTCTCGACGACATAATGAGGCGCTGTATCAAATGCAAGGATTATTATTATTATTTAACATTGCTTCACAGTCACTTGAATTGCACTATTAGATTGATTTCAAAGTCCTATCCTCACCTATAAATCCCTTCATACCTTAACATCTTCTTATGTCTTCTCCTACCATACTCCTCTGCTCACCCCCTCTGCTCAGCTAATTTGTGTTTGTTGTGTGTCCATTCTGTCTGACTGGTACCATCATTGGCTAACTCTTCATATTCTATGCTTCCCTTTAACAGCTTTTGCACCATCTCTGTCTAAATTCCGCCTTAAAACCTATCTTTTGACTAAGCTTGTAATCACCTGCTTAGCGTACGACCCTGTCTTTGTAAAGTACTCTGAGAATGAAATTCAGTGAAAGGGCTTTTTCACCTCATATTTGTAGAGATGAAAAAAATATTCATCAGTATACCCTGAGTAAGAAAGTCAAGCTTCAATAGTGAGAGGTTCTCAAGATATTCAGCTGCAATCATCTGAACACAACACATAGAATATGTGCTAACTGGAGGACATTGGAAAGTAGGCAAGATAATATCATATTAATCCTTGCATTTGATATAGTGCCTCATCACGTCTTTGAGATGTCTTAAAGCACTTCATAGAATATACTGTAAAGTGAATTGACTATATTTTGTGGGCGAAATGCCGCAGCCAATCACATACAGCAGTGTCCCACAAACAGTCGTGGATTGAAATGGTCAATTGATTATTATTATTTTTTTTGAAGGAGTTGTTACCCCCGGAAAAGTGATCCACCAATTGACTAACAACCGGGTTCCTACTTACTGCTAAGTAAACAGAGGCATATGGAGTATGGAAACTTCCCCAACATTTTGTCCTGCCAGAAATTGAACCCAGGTCTCTCACTTGCGAGGCGAGTGCTCTAACCTCTGAGCTACAGAACCCCACAATGGATATAACAATATTGGTCTTCTTATCAGAAATCTATTACATGACTCAATATTGGAAAAAAAAGGCGTAATATTAGACCAAACAGCACATTGCAATGATAGTTGTAACCTTTTGGTTATGCATTGAGAAACTGGGGATTATTAAAGAAACTACAATGTTTTAAACACTAATCATATGCTACATGTCAAAGTGCTTCACAGTCATTACTGTCATGTGTAGCAAGTGTTTTTTGTTAAGAAATGTGGCAAGCAGTTAAAGTCCCACAACAGCCTTGAAATTATCAATTCAGGACAACAACAACAAGATTACATTTGTATAGCGCCTTTCATGTCGGGAGGACATCCAACAACACAACTTGCATATATATAGCACCCCTTATGCAGGTAGCGTCCCAGAGCACAGGCAAATGGATCAATATTTTTTCTTGCCTCAATACAATAAAGATTCAGCCCAGCCTGAACTAGTGAGTGCCTAACCATAAGTATTTTTCACCGAGATTTGTTCCCTTTCTTATCTATATCTTCAGCCCTGCCCACTGCTTTTCTTTTGCTAAATATTTCTAAACGCTAAAAAACTTAACTAACAAAATCAAATGGGATATTGTGCATAGTGCATAATAATAATCCTTGCATTTGATCTAGCGCCTTATCACGTCTTTGAGATATTTCAAAGCATTTCACAAAATATATTGTAAACTGAAATGACTGTATATTTTTAGGGCAAAACATATTAAGTATGTGTATGTGAATCGACCCAGAATAGAAAAGCCAGCTCATTTATTCTGTAATGATGCTCCTTCTTTCTCTATCTCTAATTATTGAGATGGTGGTGAATTGCATTTTTATTTATGGGGTCTAGATAGACAAAACATGCACGATGCTTTTAAGAAAAGCCTCTATCAAGTAAATTAGGTTATTAGTTTAATAGTTTGCATTAAGTTATTCATTATGAATTGTGTTATTCAATGATACATTATGAAGTGACACGGATGTGGATATCCATCATGATCAAAAAGACCAAACTGCAATATGTGTCAGTAGCTGATCTCGGGTAGCAGTAGGTGATGTCTCAGCATGTAAAGATGAAAATTGAAACAAACTAGGGCAAAGCCAGTCCTTTTTGTTAAACTGGTCGGGAAATTAGGAAACTGATGATAGCACTGTTTGTAAAGGATACATTTTTCCACTCGGCAGTGTCCCTCAGCTGGAGGAGGAGTCAATTGCGATGAGAGGCCTTAAGATTATAGAGCTTTGAGTGCCCAACGGGTTCTGAACAAGTTCTTACCCCCACCACTGAAGCTCTATGTCGATGGACATGATGTGATAGGCAAGAGAATGGGACTATATGGATCGTGTTTTCAGATTGCCAGCACATGCACAATGGTATACTGCGCTTAGGACATAATAATAATTGCGAAGAGGAGGAGACCAGGCAATTGCTGTAAATCAGCCCTAGGCACCAATTAAAGAGCTCATAAATTCAACCCCACATGGATCAGTTCCTGCCGCCTGTGGCCAAGAAAAATATTTGTCACAAAACAAAACATTTGCTTAGCAGTGAGGCCTTGAGGGAAAACATGGCAGCTTTGCAACAGATGGTGTTGTGGGCCATTTTTACATCTGTATTTCAATATGCAGCAATGATTTTTTGGAAAAAAATTGAAACGCAATAAAGAAAACTGATCGTATTGTATGAACCTATCAAAGAAAGGATAGCTAATAATGAAACACATTAGAAATATACAGAAAGATATCCTTATAGATGCTAGGCAATATTATATAGGGTGACCAAAAAGTCATGATACTATTACAATGTCTAATAAGTCTTAAAGATATGATGATATATATATTTTTTAGAAAATAGGGAACTTCACTATTTTTTGGTCATCCTGTATAAACTGGAATTTGTGTATCAGCAGGGTTAAAGATTATTTGGAAACGATGGATTCAAAGTCATTTTACTTTCTGTTTTGTGGTGACCGAGGTTGTCCCTTCTCACCCCTCATGACACATTAATCTAATTCTGTAACTTGAAAATGCGAGTTGCCCTGACAGTAAACCAACGTCAAAGCAATCCATGCCCCCATATTCCCATAAGGCAAAAGACCATGCACACCCATCATCCACTTTTCACGGGCTTTGTGATTGTGGGAATGCAATGCACAGTCTCTCCCTGGAGAGACACATCCTGCTCACCTAATTCAGGAAAGTATTAGGTTGGCAGGTTGGCAAGAACCAAGGCTTAGGGGCTTCCGGGTATGTGTTGGGGCTTCTGCTGGAGTCTAACTAGCTAAATCCGCATAGATTGCTATTGATATTGCTGTCTGGCAAGCTTTCCCCCTGCTTGTTCAACTAGGACCGTCCTTCCCGTTAGGGCTTTGGCTTGTAGGGTTAACAGGAACTGAATGGTATGTCCCCAGTGACTGGTGTGCCCTTCCAGGTCCTGCCGAGGAGCCAGTCTGGCTGTGTTGTCATCAGCAGTGCCCTGGAATACTGCGGACTTTCTTGGCTCAGGAACCGGACCAGGACTACCGAGACTGCCACAGACAGCTGACTCAATTTTGACATTCCATTACCAGGTATGTCGGCTTAGAGTCAGTTCAGCTCGAAGGAGACCCCGCTTACCTCCTCCCCAAGGAGAACAGTCACCAGTTGGTCATTCAACATCCAGCAAACGTGGATCTGAGGCCTCACTAGGTGATCATAGGTACAAGGAACTCCCTGCAAGCTTCCTGGTGGGCAACACAGCTCAGTATGAAATGCCTGAGAGCATTGCCACCATCTTTCTCTCCACAGTCAAACACACGTCCCATTGCATTGAACGATGGTTCCACCAATTGGAGTTGCGGAGTTTAAGCAGCAGCTGCTTGCCTATCTGCAGGCCAATCAAGGTGGATTCCAGGCATTGGATGTAGGAACTTGTGTTCACAAACTCGGACTCCAGGTAACATCTTCCAGCAGCTGTCGACCCAAGCCTCAGAGTTTCCTCATCGGTTATCTGGTGGGCAACTGTCTTCAGAATGGCAGGAGAACCTTTACAGGACAGCTTGTGACTTGCTACCCACCTTGATGTTCTCGGGGTCCAAGTCCAATGCTGCATACCAGACTTACTCAGCACCAGCTGCTTAATCCAATCTTATCATTAAACTGATAAGAATGGATACAACACTTGATCTTATCCCAATAGGCTGAGAAGCAATCTGTCTTTCTGAGAACCTTGACTTGCAACTCCAAAATACTTTGGGTGAAAAGAGCAAACTGTGAACATTGAGCAATCAGCTACCCAGCCACAAGACACTGCTTATCATAAATATTCAAATGCTTCACTTGTAGAAATGAGGAAACTGTGGAGAGGAAGCACGGGTTTAACTGAAAACTCCCACTGCCTGCCACAAGATAACCTGTAGTCTTATAACCTTCTCACATTTCACATCTAGGCAACGAGCGCGGTGGTGGTGCTGTTGTAGAAAGTCTTCAGCCCTCTCTCAGCTAGCTAAATAATATTAGCTAAGTGCCAACTGTAAACAGGATCATTCTGTGACTAAAGCTACTGCATATTCACTGGCTGGAGGCTGGGGAGATTGTGTGTTCTCCATAATGTACTTGGAAGAGGTAAGGGTTCAGTTCCTCATTAAACAGAGTTGCTGAGTCAAATTGATCAGCGTTGGCTGCAGTTTGCAAATATATAATCATATATATATTGATAATTGCAAGTATATAATCAATGTGTAATAATGGAAGCACAATGGATAGAACAGTAAAGCCAGTTTAATTAGCTAGAACTGCGTCCTACGTATTTCGAGTCAATATAATTTAATATGAACAATATAAGTAATGATATTAATAATCGTTGCATTTGATATAGCACCTTATCATGTTATTGAAACATCTCAAAACATTTCACAGGATGTACTGTAGATTGTAGTGTATTTTGTATGTTCAATTCAAATGTAATTTAAGGAGTGCCAGAGTATTTGCAATATTCTATTTAACATTGTTTTGAATTGTTCTTTTACAAATGAGTAAAGACCTTTCCGTTTAGTGAAGGCCTGATATACGAGGCTGGCTCTAAGGTTGGATTTAAAGCTAGTCTCCATTTATGTTTATTTCGGTTTCTATTCAACTGTCCTTCTGCATGTCACCAAATATTCTTCCTGGAAGCAAAGCAATCTGGTCTGTTACCTCACAAATGTATTGTGATGAATATCTGTTACAGTTTTCACAAAAACTAGAATGTTTTGCTATGTACAGCTTTTGTACAAAATCTATTTGAAGACATTCAAACCTCTTTGTGCACATTCACATAGTGCCACGATCTCTGCTGCTATCTCTGCTTGTTACCAAATTTGTAAGCTCAGGCTGTTTCAACAGTTGATTTATTTTGAGTGATAGATAGAGATATGATCCAATCTGAACTCACTTTCTTTATTTTTAGTTTGATTTACACTCTCGATCCTCAACACTGATGATATATGTTAAGCCTTATGCACATGGTAATGATTAGTTTCACTTCTCTTCTCAGGTTAGAAGGAAAGATTTTTGTGGCCTTATCGTGCCATATTGTTTCAAAATGCTTTGCTTGACTGTTTGTGGGACATTGTTGTGCACAAATTGGCTGCTGCATAGACCCACAAACACACAGTCACTCCACTTTGCAGTGAATCTTATTAGATTATTATATAGTTCTTCCCCAGGATTGGGAACAGTGCCCGATTTTTCCTTCTGTAACCCAACCGATGAGGTCAGTTATAAAACCTTGACCAATGCTCTGGCTGAGATTAGCTAACTCAGTACAGACTGGGGAACACGGTAGCTACTTAGTGCATGAACTCGCTGGATTGAGTGAGTGCATGAGTCACTCAGTCCAGTGAGTTCAGCTACTGAGTAGTTAAGCTATTGGGGAGCTAATGTACCTCTTCCAATCGAATCTCACAGCCAGTAACTAAGGAACACTTTGTATATATGATGGGTCAGATGTCCTATGACTTCATTTACCTATTTTTGTTTCAAAGAGAAACATTGGTACACGTATACCCAATCATTGCTCAGAGGTAATCCTATACAATGTCTTATGGCCTCAAGAGTACAACATCACTTTTCACAGGACTATTTTTAATCACAAACCCAGTGCTGATTCCTGTGTCTCTCCTCTATTCAAATATCCCAACCAAACAAAAATGAGTAAAATGATTTAATAATGTACAGTAATGCCCTCACAATGTGAATGTGTGTAGAAACCAAATGAGCCAGCAGAGCTATATAACTGTACTTTGACAGATCTGGTATGAGGAAGCACCTCCAATTCCTTACTGTTTATTTATTTAAGCAAATTTTTAAAAGTGCAAAAGCATCCAAATGCCTCATCCACTGAATAAACTGAGGCCATGATCTCAGTGTGATTCAACAATGATCAACTCACAAAATCAGCCTGACATAACTCATCAGAAGCATCTGTTGCTTGTTTTAGGTGGTCAGTTCCATTCATTGTTTAAAAATGGTATTACTATTCATCAAACCTGTGTGGAGTCCTCTGATTCTCACAAACAAAGAATAGATAATACAGGCCATAAATTACGACACTGACAAGGAGCTAGCCAATCTGTTTTCAACTTGCCAAGTAATGGTGAAAACTGTCCTGCGAGATCAGCTTGAAATTTAATAACCATTATTTGAGAGAATAGTGTCACTGAAATCCTAAGGGAATGCACAAAGACTTTGTCAAGTTATAGATCTGTACATCTATGAATTATAGATCAACAAGCCCATGTTGCAAACTCTCATTTTCCAACCCATTAATGTCAGTCAGTCAGCCAGCCAGTCAGTTTATATGGCATTGACAGCAAACAAATATGAAGATCAGGTATTTTGCATTAAAACTGATTGTGCACAGTTATCTCCAACTCAAGAATGGAAGTCGTCGATCGTACATTTTTCAAAACCGGATAAAAGAATTTCATGATTCAATCAGAAGCTGCAAGTAATGGGGTAAAATTTCTGGTAAAAGTTCTTAACTTATTGAAAGACACTTTAATGAATCCCAGCAAGTGGCACCCTCTGCAGGTAAGTCATTTGTTTAGTCAATTGGCTTTGTTTTACATTGTTCCAAACTGCAGAAGTTGCAGGGTTGCTATTCAGATGTCAATACTGCCACTTGACTTTCACATGCAGTGTTATTAGCATTGTAGTATAAAAGCAGCATTCATTGGAGATTTTAGTTCTTAAATGCAAACTGTTTGCTGCTCTAGAGAATGTGTAGTGGCATTAAATGCTACTTTTCTTATTAACTTTTAATTGTTTATCATCAGCAACAAAACAAACAACAGAGTTTAAGTCACAATCCTACCATTAGGGTTCCCTGACTCTACTGGGTCTACTGTCCATACTTGGATTTGACCAGGGTATTCAGCAAGAATTGAGCTGAAAAGAAGAGCAGAACAGAACCTGAAGGATGAATTATCATAGAATCATAGAATTATACAGCACAGAAAAAGGGCATTCGGCCCATCATGTCTGTGCCGACTCTTTGAAAAGAGCTACCCAAATCAATCCCATTCCCCCACTCTCTCCCCATAGCCCTGCAAACTTGTCCTCCCCAAAAAATCATCTAATTGAAGCTTCAAAAGCTCATAAGTAGCCTGGAGAACGGATAAGAATAGTTCTGGGTTGAAAGAAGAAAGAACTTACATTTTTATCACACCCAAAACATCTCATGTGACTGTATTTGTAGTCAAAGACTGTAGCCATTTTCACAAACAAGTTCCCATAAACTTCTGTGAGTTGAATGAAACTCTTCACTTTTTAATGTCTAAGCTCTCTGAGATGCCACCCTGCGTAGAGGGTGCTATATAAGTGTAAGTTGTTGTTATTCACAACTTTCTGACCCAGAAGCAAGTGTACCCTCCGTTCCTCTGGCTCCGGTCTGCTCCACATCCCCCGCCCCAACCGTCGGTGGCCGGGCCTTCAGCCTCTCAGCCCCTAGGCTCTGGAACTCTATCCCCCAGTGCCTTCGCCTTGCTTCCTCCCTTTCCTCCTTCAAGGCCGGTCTCAAGACCTTTCTTTTTGACCGTGCCTTCAGCTCCCCTCTCGACTCTCTACCCCCTCCTCCCTCCCTCCCTTCCCTCTCCCTGACCATTTCCCTCCTCCTCACTCCCTCCTCTCACCCTGACCATTTCCCCCCTGCTCAGGTCCTGACCCAACTGTCCAGTGCTTTGGGACGTCTTCCCGATGTGAAAGGCGCTCTATAAATGGAATTTTGTTGTTGTTGTTGTTGCTGTCAATCGAGGCCAACTGACAAGGGCCAATGATAAGGTTAATGAATCCACCCCACATGATATCCTCCTAGACTGCCTCTCCTCCCTCATCCATCTTAGTGGAATTGCACTCTCCTTGTTCGAGTCCTACTTAACCCACCACCATCACTTTATCTACGCAACCAGTTTCTCCTTTCACCCTCACACAGTCAGCTGCAGCGTATCCCAAGGCTCTGTCCTCAGCCCCCTCCTTTTTCTCTTGTATGTGCTCCCTCTCATTGATGTCATCCACAGACATGCTTTCAACCATTACACCCTGAGAATCTGGGACTAGTATTTACCAATTACTTGCCTGTCATCTCCTTTTCTATCACTGTAATTGATACAGTACTCTCTGTTCTCTATCTCTACAATCATCGATTTATTGCATTAAATCTTAATCTCACCTTTGGCCATCTCCTTTTACATGAGATATATCATATATAATAAAGCCAATGATAGTTTCAATTGTTTAGTTAGACAATGAATTTTATGTAAATACCGTACATTATTATATTTCATCTAGTATTTCCTAATTATTTGCACAAATGACTAGTGTGCAGTTAATAGCTTTCATTCAATCGAATTATTCTTTTAGATTTCAGTGAACTTATAAAACGTCTGCAGCGATAGCATAACACACTAAGAACGTGCTTCATGGGTATGGCCCACAGGTGAAATCCAGCTGTACATTTGTGATCTGAAAGATGTATTAGTTCAGTGATGTTTTAATAAACCTGGTTACCAGGTTGTTACCAAACTTGATACATCTGTGTGCGACAATAGTGACTGTGTTTGAATTCTCTGTTTGTCATTCTCTAAATTATAAACTTTGCTGAATTGTAACAGCTGCTCTACCTGCTCCATCCCGGAATGGGAATATAATGAATCACTAGAACGTTTATGGAAATAACTGACAGCAGTGGAACAACACAGGATCTTCCCAGTCACAAAATGGTGAGTGTGGAGCAGTATTTGGACTTTGTAGTGGCTATTCTTCCCTTGTTGATAAATTTACTAAACAGTATGCGCCTAAAATCAAATCCACCATTTAGGTGCAGTGTCGAAAAGTTTGATAAATTTACCAAAATAGAACAAACCCTTGTGTCTGTAGTAGTGCATGATCAGAAAGTCCAAACAGTTTTAAGCAGTGATATGGCTGATGTAGTACAATATTTTTATATTCATGACCTGCAGAGTGCCTCCATATCTTTATTTAAATGATCACGTCAGTGTTGACAAATCACTTCTTGTTTGGGGAAGGAGAGGAGTTAGGCCACTGCTTCAATCATGATAATGTCACATGTAAATAATTTATTGATGTGCTTCATTACAATGTGTGCTGGTAAACAATTGACAAAAGATTTGCAAACATGTCTTCATGAATACAATGCCTGTTAAACTACCTTACCTTTTTTAAAAAAATTGAAATGTGTTTTTCTGATTATCTGGACAAAGCTAAGGTGACTGGTTTTATACTTCACTCAATTAATATCCAGTGCTGTTGCCAACGTGGTACATAGTTCAAGAGAAAGGCAGCAATATAATTATAAAGATAGCCTGAATGGCCCAGTGGTTAAAAGCACCATTTGCAGTAGCACTGAGTCATGGCTTGCAGGTCTGAATTAGCTGATCTGACTGGGCAGCAACCACGATAGGCCTGAGCACCTGAGGAGACAAGTCAGGACTCCCATTCCTAGCTTCTGTTCCATGGACCTCAGCTGAAAATGTCTGTCTTATTAATAATCATTACATTTGGTAGAATGCTTTTCAGGTAGGATGTTTCAAAATGCTTCACAGGATAAACTGTAAAGTGTAGAGACTGTATGTTTGCGCGTGAATGCCAAGTTGGGTGAAAACAGAATTAACTCGGCTGTGATTACTTTGCCCCCCACTCAAGTCCCATGTTTCACCAATGGCCAGTTGTTTGGGATATGACAGAGACTTGAGAATCCTTAACCCAGTAGAAAAGAAAAAATTAATCAATAGCCTTCAAAAGGGGAGAAAATTGGAGGTGAAAATTTGTCTGAATCAAACAGAAAACCTGTTTTACTGTCCTGCCCAATATTTCCCTCATAAAAGATTGGTCATTCACTTCATGGTTATTTATGGCACTGTGTGGAAATTGGCTGACCTGTTCAGCTACATAATACACAGTCACTACACTTCACTGTAAAGTGCTTTGAGAACTCCTCCTGATGTGAAATGCCCCATATCAAATGCAAAGATTATTAACATAACATTGTTTACATTAACCAAAAATGCTTCCCTAATGAAAGTATTCAGGCAGGAAGGAAATGTTGTAACATAACAACTTAAATTATTCTTTTTGTGGAAAATGAACAATTTAGTAGAAAGGAATATAATGTTATTAATGAAACAACATTAGTACATCAATCCCCTGAATCTACATTTGGCGAGGAAGAAGAAGTAAGAGAAACACTTGTTTGCTCTTTCATTCCTCTCATTAGCACTTTGCATATTGAAATTGAAGGTAGGAGAGGGAGCAATAGAGAATTTATTGAAGACAGCTGATTTCTATTGCAGGACATTGGCAAAGCACGTGTAGTGTTCTTAATGCAATTGCTGCCAGACCAATCCATGCAGTTTGTTCTTTCCCTTCTTTAATATACAGAGTTCTTAATAAAACTAATATCAAACTGGCTTTTTTTCTCATAGTTATTTTAAAATGTTGCAAAGCATCAAAAGGAGGATATAGCCAGTAGCTGTCTTGGCATCTAGTGAAATAAATGGCTGTGATTATTTTAAAGACTTAAATAAGATAGTTAATGGCTTGTACAAATACTAGATGAGGTGGGAATTTTTGTGCCAATTGTTCTTGACCACCTGACCTCTGGTTGCTTATCTCAGGGATTGAGCTGTACTGTGTGGTGCAGAAGATCGGAAAGCCTCAGTGGAGGTACAAAACCTAAAGATAAGACTTAACTTTAAGACTTTGGGCTATATGAATGGTTGTAGGTTTGGTTGAATGTTTTCAAAGTTTGAAGTAATAAATGTTGAGTTGTCCAGAAAAAAAATTTAAGTTAGAAAAGTTAGTGATTATTTGACAATATTTTATATTTGTTTGCAAATGTACAGGGCAATGCTAGAAATCCCTTTGAGCGTACAGCATGTAGCTCTTAAGGTTTCACTCTCTCCCAAAATAAACAAATGTGGCAAGTTATTTTCTAAAGCAAATTACTGTGTCTCTTTTAGTCTAGATGGTGTGGACATTGGATTTAGCTGTCAGTGCTGACCACTTAATTGTTCTTAAGGATTGGTGGTGAAGTTTACATTTCTCTAGTAGAAAACATTAATGATTTGATCAACGTATGTGTTAAATGAAATTTGATCCTTTTGTCACTTTGTGTGGTTTCCTATAACGTTGTAAACATTTGAGGCATGTTTGCTTCTGTGTAAATTTTTCATGGAGATATCATCATCCAATGTGCTCTGTAATATTTCCTTATTTTCATCAAAATAATTTTAAAATATTATTTTAAAGCATGGAAATTGATATGACCAAAATACAATTTCACACATCTGTTTACCTAGCAATAAGTAGGAATCCTTTTGTTAGTTCATTGGCGGATTGCTTTCTGGGGTGAATAACACTTGGTCATTCAATCCACGATTATTTGTGGGACACTGTTGTGTGCAATTGGCTGCCAAGTTTGGCCCACAAAATACACGGTCAATTCCCTTTACAGTATATTCTGTGAAGTGCTTTGAAATGTCTCGAAGACGTGATAAGGATAAGGTGTTATATCAAATGTGAAGATTATTATTATATCAAATAGTAATAGTGGAGTCCTGTAGCTCAGTGGTTAGAGCGCTCGCTTTGCAAGCAAAAGACCTGGGTTCAATTCCCGGCAGAGTGAAACCTTGGGTATGTTTCCTTACTCCACACGCCTGATAATAATCCCTTTTAAAAAAAATCAATAATAAAATTGGTCACTTCGATCCACGAATGTTTGTTGGGACACTGCTGTTCGCAATTGGCTGCCGCATTTTGCCCACAAAATATACAGTCAATTCACTTTACAGTCTATTCTGAAGCGCTTTGAGACGTCTAGAAGACGTGAAAAGCGTTATATCAAATGCAAGGATTATTATTATTAAATGCAAGGATTATTATAATTTACAATTGAAGTGCAAATGTTTCTCTTTGAGTTTTACCCAGCAGTTATTATTAATTTTTGTCTTACCTTTCCCCCTTTGGTTTAATTTCTAAAAGAAATTGCATCCTGGTTTGTGCTGCGATAACTGATCTCAGTTGGGGAGTTGCAAGTCACCTTAATACTCTGGCTAGGAAAGTGGAAAACTATCAGTTGTGCTTCTTCCTCTACAATGTTGCCTGCTGAAAAGTATACTTGTCTGTAAGAATAGGATTAAATTCAGCTGTGAGGCTCTCAAGGAGAATGGCAACTTGAATGAGATGCTGATGAGCAGCTGAAGCCTATAGGAAGAACACCCTAACAGAAGTCAGAGCAAAAATGAGCTGAAAATTAACAAATGTAAAATTGGTTCAGTGAAGGAAGTTGAATATGAGAATCAGAATTCTGTATTGTGCTAGATAAGTACGATCAAATGCATTGGAACAAGAAACAGTTACAAAATGTGTATGATCTTGTGAAGCATTTTGATTCTTTACTTGTAGGCAAATTTGGCATGTTTGCATATAGCAAGTTCTTATAGACGATCACAAAGTAAATGATAATTACCTGGAGGAGCATGGGCTTGGACACTAGGAGAGATTTTAGTGGTTTATCATCTGTACATGGAACAATTATTTGCACAAGTTTATAAATTTTGACTAATAATCCTTGCATTTGGTAATCCTCCAGACGTGAAAGTGCCTGGAGGATGTCCACAAAGTGAAACTCTTGTTCATGCCTTCATCACCTCCAGGCTCGATTATGCAAACACCTTTCTTGTCGGCCTTCTCAACTCCTCCCTCCACAGGCTGCTGATAATCCAGAACTCTGCAGCCCGTGTCCTCTCCTGCACCAAACTCCGTGACCCCATCTCCCCCACTCTCGCCCGACTCTACTAGCTCCCTATCCTTCAGAGGATCCAGTTCAAGATCCTGGTCCTCACATACAAAGCCCTTCATTGCCTTGCCCCACCCTACCTCTGCAACCTCCTAACCCTCTACCAACCCAACCGTTCCCTCCGCTCAGCCGGCTCTGGCCTACTCCACGTCCCCCGACCCACCCGCCCCACCATTGGCGGGAGAGCCTTCAGCCAGTCTGCCCCCAACCACTGGAATTCCATCCCCCAGTCACTCCGCCTCACCCCCTCCTTAGCCTCCTTCAAGTGCCACCTCAAGAACCTCCTCTTCGACAATGCCATCGGTCACCCCCCTTCCCCTCCCCTCCCTTTTCCCCCTCCTGACCCCAGCTCAGTTCTGAAATGCTGTACACTCTCCAGCGCCTTGGGACGTCCTCCTGACATGAAAAGCGCTATACAAATGTAATCTTGTTGTTTCACAGGATTTACTGTAGAGTGTTTATATTTATAAGTAAACACGCCAGGGATTATTCTCTACTTGTCAAATTTACCAACTGAATATTTCCAACAAATTGAACAACAGTTCCCTATATCCTCATCTTAGATGTCATCTGTGCTACATTTTTAGGGATGTACCAGCCTGATGTCTGACACATGCAGAAATCCAATGCCATGCTTAAGTGTATCTAATCCAGACTTGAGTTATACATATGTATGCCAAACATTCCAGGACATATGTATGCCAAGTGATCTGAGACGCTACCCCACGTGAAGGGTGCTGTATAAATACAAGATGTTGTTGTATGTATGACAATTTTACATTGGAATGTTCCTGTATCTGATCTGGAATGTGCTCTCCTCTCCCTGGAAGGACACACCTTGGGCTATTGAAATCAGTTCCATTCGGTACTTGACTTGTTTTCTATTTTTCTATTGCAGTTGACAAGGAAAAGTGTTCCATGGTCTATGACGAAGACAAAGAATGTGCCCACTCCAGGAGGATTCCATTTGAGCGCTCCATGTCCTCTCCCTCACTCTCCACAAACATCAGTGCTGTCAGGTATTTGTTTCCTTAACCTCACTCTAAGTTTTTGAGTGAATTGGATATGCAAGTCTTAGTCCTATTACAAATGCAGTAGGGAACATTACAGTCTTTGGTTTATGCCAAGCACCATCACTCTTGTGCCTTTCTCCAGCTTTCACTACCCTTACTTTGCAATTGGTCTAGTGTTCTGCGGGTGTTAAGGTGTTAACATGGACTGTATAGGTGGCAACAACTACAGGACCAATATTTATGTTGATGTTCCTTTCTCTCAACTATTCACGTTTTACTGCCTACCAACACTTGCATGCTGCCAATAATGATGGCTGAATCCATTGCAGCACGTATGAACTCTGACAGCAAAGACAATTTGCTTCATTTAGCTTAGCATAGATCTACTGGTGGCAGAGCTACCATCAGTGGCACTATCATAAGCTTGATGCAGCATTGTTTTGCATGTGTCATGTCTTCCTCCAGTTTTGATGTCAATTAGGGAAGCTAACACATTTACATTGCTGATTTGCTTCTTGTGGGATCTGTTGGTAGCAAATTGGGCAATGATAAGACAATGTGGCTGTTGGAGACTATGTTTTGCTCAGGCACTTCTTACAGAATAAAACAAAATGAGTGCAAGGTTTAAAGAAAGCCTGGAACCAGCTGTTGATTGATGATATTTTAGAACAACAAAGCAATTTCTCATTTTTTTTCAAGGGTTCTCCCACAACCATTGAAACAATTATGGCTTCCAAAAATATAGTCAGGCACCATGGCATTTAAACCCTGTTTAAAGCACCTATGCAAACTTGAACAGGTGTAAGAGCAGCCACTGTGAAAACTAGCAAAGCATAATGTAACTTTCCACAAGAAGGTTGACCCCTTGTACCTAGAATGGAAAGAACATTAGGTTGAACAGCAACTTTTTTGCTGGCATTCTGTACCCTACTTGTTATCTGACCACATTATGCACTTAGTTAAGTTCCAAGGAAGATTCAGCTGAACCTATACCTTTCTCTTTTGTACCAGGTGAATATTGTAAGCCTGCAGTGATGGGCCAGATTGCAGTGAGTCCAGGGCATCGCTCAAACAGCCCAGAAACCATCAAAGAGATTCTACTGTCTGCCGTGACATCTGACTTCCAACCACCTTCCAGAGAAAAATTGATGATTGGTTCCAGGCTTTCTCCAAAAAGTGTGGTAGAAGATGGTGAGATAAAAAAATGGCAGAATCAGAAGACTCACAATGACAATAAGCCACAGAAAGGTGGCACTGTAATTCAGATAGTCATGAGAGAAGATGCATCAAGCAGCAACACTTCAGTGGATCCACCAGATGAACTGACTGCACAAACTGGTCATGTGGTTTCTAACAGTTTGAGAAAACTCATTCATACAGCACAATCTACAGCTGCCAGGTGTATAAGCTTTAATGACGGGGTTCCACCTACCAGCAACACAAGATCTGAGATCAACCAGAGGCACTCGCAACGTATACAATCTGAATCGTGTATCAAATCAGGTAAAAGAGATCATAATGAGTGAAGTACATGTCTTCTCTTTGACCGTGCCTTCAGCTCCCCTCTCGACTCTCTACCCACTCCTCGCTCCCTCCCTTTCCTCCCCTCACCCTGACCATTTCCCCCCTTCTCGGGTCCTGACCCAATTGTACAGCGCCTTGGGACGTACTCCCGACGTGAAAGGCACTCTATAAATGGAATCTTGTTGTTGTTGATGTTAATAGTGACCAATAGGCCATGCTTAATTATCTTGGTGGGGTAGGTAAGTAGGTTCTCCTTGGAACTGAACTGGCGACATGGTCTCATTTGTCCAGTTCCTGAGCCAGGAGGATCCACAGTACTCCAGGGCACTGCTGATGACCTCACAGCCAGGCTGGCTCAATGGCAGGACTTGGAAGACAAACCAGTCACCGGGGGCAGGAACTCTTCCTTCAAACCAAAGCTGTAAATGCTAGGGTGGTCTTTTCCGGACAAGCTTTGGGAAAGCTTGCCAGACACTTTTCTCAATGATGAGCTACTCAATGTAGCTGGTTAGACTTCAGCAGAGCTTAACACACACTCTGAGTTCCCCAAGCCTCGACGATTTGACGCCAAACTGCAAATAACACTTTCCTTGAATTAGGGGACAGGATGCGTCCCTCCAGGAAGAGGGTGCATATTCTATTCCAATAAACATCTCTAGAATTTCCATGTATAGATAGAATGCATGGAACTCTGTTTGGTTAAGAATTGTGCTGGGTTTCTACATGTCAGACCCATGGCTGACAAAAAAATGGTACAATGTGTCTGTTCATGTATATATTTGATCATATATTTAGGAACCTTATATTTTATTGTGTCTTAGGATGTGGCAACTTTGATAGCGCTGCATTAATTACCATCCTGAGTTGGCCTGAGAAGGTGGTGCTATGCAATTAGGGTTTATAATCACTATGCAGTTTGGTATTGGCCTAACACCTGGGTAACTGCATTCATGACAACATTTTTGTTTTTGTTCATGGATTGTAAATGGGGCATGATGCATTTACAATTGTACCATGTTTACTGGAGAATACTTTGATTATAGGAATTCTGTGACTTAGTCACTGTTACCAAAGCATCATTTCTTCATCTGTCTGTGGTCCCAACAACCACCACGATTACTTTTGCATGATGGGTACTTATCCTTGTTGACGTTGTCTCTTATTGCACTTTATTATAATTGCAACTAATTTAATAGGGGAACAATATCCAGTAGAATAAAGCACTTTTTTAAAAAAAATAATAGTGGGTACACGTTTTACTTTCAGTTCTCTCAATTCTGCAACTTTTGTTCTCCGCAGAGAGTGCAGAGCGAGACCCAAATAAAGGAACAGAAACTATTATCTACACAAGTCTCCTTTCAGATCCTAGTTTCAGTGCAAGCAGAGCTCTGGAAAGGGTGAGAAATCACACTTGGCTAATCTGTGTGTTTTAGTTTGATCAATTTCACCAGACTTGTTTTTATCTTTCCCAATATACCTCATTAGATCCCCGACTGTTCAGCACCTTGGGATGTCCTCCCAGCATCAAAGGCACTTTACAAATGTCATTTTCTTGTCATTATATTAGTGAGATTGAGTTGTTTTATTCTAGTAAATACAATTTGACTTAAATCTGTGCTTGAAGAGGGATGTGGATATATGAGCCCAAGTTCTTCTGTGATTGAGAAAAAAAAGTATATTTGAAGGTTTTTCACCCTCTCCCCAATTCTTGAACAAGTGGTATGTAAAGTTATTTGATTTATGTTTTTTTATATTAGGAAATGTCAGAATGGAGAGCTAAATTGTTCTTAAAAGAAAATGGCAATTTAGCTTTCTTTCATAACTTAAAAATGATGCATTTTAGTCAATTTGGAATAAATTAACTCCTTTTGGGTGAATTTTCCAAGTTTGACATCGGGTTGACTTGGAGTTTCCAGCACTATAGGATATTGGTAGATTCCAAATATCAAGCTACTCTCAGTAGACACCTATCGGACTGCCATGTGCTCTACATCAACCATTTCCATAACGCCCTACCTTAAATGTCTTTCTGTTCTGACTGTTTAATGTTATAATAATCCTTGCATTTGATTTTGCGCCCTATCACATCATATCAAAGAGCTTCACAGGATATACTGTAAAGTGAATTGACTATTTTGTGGGCAAAACATGGCAGCCAATTGCACACAGTAGTATCCCACAAACAGTCATGGATTTAATGCCCAAATATTGGAGTGAAAGAGGTGGGGTCTAATGTGTGGTGGCTTCATACAGAATTCATGAATTAAGGAATTTGAGTGGGGGACACTTTCCAGTAACCAGAACTATATCAAGCTGACCTGAGGGAACAGCTAGATCGTGCAGGAGCAAAGTTTCTGCAAGTCAAAGTGATGTGCTTCTAGTTTCTTTATTTAAGGAACTGTTTGGAAATTGTTATGTAAGGTCTCCTATTATAAACATCCTATTGCATTCCATTGTACTATTGCATGGTATATTAAAATTGAAGTAAATAGTATATTAAAAACTGCAGCTGCTACATAATTTTTTAAACTTGCTGTTTTATTCAGAGGATATTCATTTAATTATTCAGCTGCAAGAATCTACCTCAATTGTGGATTCAGCAGGAGAGCTTATAGGAAGTGGAAAGGTTGCTGAAAGCAGTGTTTTTAGCCACACATAGTTGGCAATGTAAAATAAGCAAGCAAACTCAAAAGTTCTCGCTTCAGCTGCCAACTTTCAGAAATGCACCAGTTTATTATTGAGAATGGGAGCCAGATTGTATTTTCTTACAGCTTCTATCTGTCAGCATGTTTTGCCAATCTAGACATAAAAATAATAATAATAATTCTTGCATTTGATATAGTGCTTTATCACATCTTTGAGACTTCTCAAAACGTTTCACAGAATATACTGTAAAGTGTGCTGACATTGTTGGGATATGATTCTCTCCAGCTAGCATAATAACTCTGCAATGCAGTGCTATAGATGCTGTGATAACAAGAAATGTGGAGTCCAGGTATGCAGCATGTGAACGCGGACAAAAGAAGGTAAATGTTGGATTGAGTATCAGAGAAAAGATGGATGGCTAAAAATATTATAGTTGAGAAAAAAGACTATGCCTTTCCCTGTAATACTTTAAGAAGTATTTGGGATGTGGAAAAGGATAAGACATTTTAGTACATTATAAAGTTGATGATGCGTCCTGATCTACCTTTGAGAATATCAGTCGCAATGCTGTGGCATTCACTTTGCCTTCTGGTTGCAGGAGAATACTCATCTAATTGTTGCCGATATGGTAATTGCTACTTTAGAGAATGTAAAATGCAACATCCTATCTGAGCAATCAAAACTGGCGGAAGATTATTGCCTTTCAAGGACCCCAACACCAGCAGATCATATCAGCAGTTGTATCAAGAAGGAAATGCACTCTGGGTCAATAAACTCCACAGACAGTGGTTATGAATGTGAGTACCAATTGTATTTATTGTTTTCATTAAGGTTAAACTGCATTAACCTCGCTCTTCATTGTTTATAATGATAATCCTTACCTTTGATATAGCGCCTTATCACGTCTTCTAGACGTCTCAAAGCGCTTCACAGAATAGACTGTAAAGTGAATTGACTGTATATTTGTGGATGAAATGCGGCAGCCAATTGCACACAGCAGTGTCCCACAAACAGTCGTGGATTGAAGCAACCATATACTATTGTTTTGTTTGCAGTGTATGTTGTAACAATTTTAGAAAAGTGTGTTGCGAGTAACAGAACCATTTTCTCCAGATTGCTAATTTGCTAAAGGTCTTGTGTACTGTGGAACTGAACTATTATAGAACAGCAAGATCTCAAGTTTGAACCCTAGTCTGTGCTGAGTTAGTTGACCTCAGGATGGCAGACTGTATTAGTGTTTTTAATGATCCAAGGCCGGGGAGAGGAAATCCAGGCTGTTCTTCCTGGGTGGGAAGTGGATACAATGTACGACAGTACAATTTACATTTATATAGTGGCTTTCGTTTCTATGCTGAATGGGGCAGAAAAGTCACTGGGAGCAGTAACCCTGTAGACCAAAGCCCTAATGGGACAGCCAGCAGGATGCTTGCCAGATGGTGATCTCATGGCAAGCAATACAGTTTTAGCTGGTTAAATTCCAGCAGTATCCCAACATACACTCTGAGGTCCCCAAATCTTGCCTCTTCTGAACCTGTGATTAATTCTTTGAAATTCGATGATCATTTTGCATCACTCAAAATAGATTGCATTTCATTCCAGATATAGAGAAATTTCCATGTGTCGGTGGCGTACATCTACATTCTTAATGGTGATTTATTTGTGTGTCAGATATCCGACTGACCAAATATGAGTGCGGTTACTTGAATGGTGCAGGAAAGACGTTTTTAAAATTCTTTTAGTTTTTTTTATTCAAAATGCTCACATAAATCTAACACCCACAAATGCAAGAAATTGAATAACAGAAACATACAGGATACTGTTACAGTAATTGGTATACATTAAATGTGGATACATAAACTGCAAGCTGATAACAATACATAGCAAAAATGACCACAAAAATCTTATCTTTGTTTGCTATCTTTGTCCATTGATGAGTTAGAAGTATTTTACATGGAAACACTGTCTCAAAAGTGCGAAAACCTGCCATGTTATAAGATATTCGGAGTGACTAGTTATCAAAAGATCATAATTCTTATTTCTTATTTCTTGAGTAAGTGACAAGTTATGTGGGTTTGACAACTTATCCCAGGGGCAGGTTATCAGAGTTTCACTGTATATTTTTCAGGTGGCTCCTCAACCCAACTGGACGATTCCTTCGACTCTGGCACCACGACCCTGTATGAAGACCAACAAAATGGTGATAATGATGCAGCTGATGCTGATGACCATGCTTATGATGGGTTTGTGATCATAGGTACACGTAGCGGAATGGCCCTGACTACACCAATAACTGAATTATTGATCTATGTTTGAAAGTACAGCATTCTTACGATCTGGCCCAATGAGTAGATGATTGGGAATTTCCTGAGTTGGATTTTCACCTCACCAGTCCCCAGACAGGTGGGATGAAAATGTTGTCTTTAATCTCAGCCAAGATATTAAACTGCGGTCCCATCTGCCATGAACATGATGCTATTGGAACAGAGAAGGGAATTTCTTCCAGTGTCTTGGACAAGTCTATTTGATTTAATTGATCATTTGCTTCAAGACTCTTGTGGAATCTTGCATTGATAAATACAGACTCTGGCAACATCAACCTCCATGGTTGCACACTTCAACTCACCAAGCCAGTCAGGAACTTAGGTATCTTGTTTAGCCCTCAACTGTCTTCTTCCCCACATTCAAGCCATGACCCGCTCTGCCTTCCCTCACCGCCATAATATTGCCCAACTCTGCCACTACTTCACTCCTCAGGCCGCTGAAACTCTTGTTCATGTCTTCATCAACTCCAGGCTCGACTATGCAAATGTTCTCCTTGTTGGCCTTCTCAACTCCTCCCTCCACAGGCTGCAGATAATCCAGAACTCTACAGCCCGTGTCTTCTCCCGCACCAAACTCCGTGACCCCATCTCCCCCACTCTCGCCCGACTCCATTGGCTCGCTATCCTTCAGAGGATCCAGTTCAAGATCCTGGTCCTCACATACAAAGCCCTCTGTGGCATCGCCCCACTCTACCTCTGCGACCTCCTAACCCCCTACCAACCCACCCGTTCCGTCTGCTCAGCCGGCTCTGGCCTGCTCCATGTCCCCCGACCCACCCGCCCCACCATTGGCAGGAGAGCCTTCAGCCATTCTGCCCCAAACCTCTGGAATTCCATCCCCCAGTCATTCCGCCTCACCCCCTCCTTAGCCTCCTTCAAGTCCCGTCTCAAGACCCTCCCCTTCAAGTATGCCATTGGTCACACCCCTTTCCCTCCCCTCCCTTATCCCCCCCGACCCCAGCTCGTGTCTGAAATGCTGTAAACTGTCCAGCGCCTTGGGACATCCTCCCGATGTGAAAAGCGCTATACAAATGTAATCTTGTTGTTGTACTTGCACATGGCTTGTGCGTGATGTATTTTAGACCTCAATTAGGTGCTTTCAGAGATGTTGTAGTAAGACCTATGAAATACAAGTTATTTCTTCTTTACTGACTAAAGATTCTGTAAGAAGCGACTTTGGACAATCTTCATCCAATTCCTGCTGAACTTGGGTCAACAGCACATTATGGTTATCATTCAGGACCAAATTGTTGCTGTATTGCCTCCAGCTGCCTCAAGTGCTCTGGGACACTACCCTGCCTGAGGGGCGCTGTATAAATGCAAGTTGTTGTTTGTGATTGGTCACAGTATGGTTGGTTTCACTGGAAGCAGCATCACAGATAAACCCAATCTGATCCTCTTTTAATGTCCTTACACAACTTCCATGTCCTTTTAGCAAAGATTTCTGGAATTCAGACAGAGCAGAAACTCTTCCTGGTTTTCCTCCAATAAACCTTATGCATTGAGGCCACTTTTAGTATCCCAAATGCTGTCTTGGCTGAGATCAGCTAACTTGCCACAGACCAAGATGTCCATTTGTATCTTATGCAGCATATCAGAACATCTTATGAGGCCATGAGTTCCATTTGAACAATCTCACATGTGTTTGAATGTTAAAGAATTTGTTCCTTAAGTGTGTTTTGAGAAGAGCCACAACTCATTTTTAACATAGTGCACTGCTGCTACTATGCATGCTATGGATGTTGGTGTAACCTTTATCATTAAATTGTATTTGTTTTTGATGTATGCATTCTGTAAAATGATTTCGCTTTAATGTTTGTGTACAAAACATAAACAACAATTTTTTTGTATCACAGAATTTGATGACCTTAATTTTGGTCCTGATGGCACCTGGAAAGCAATTGAAAGGTAAACACTTGATTATGGTGATGTTCACATCCCAGATGTGCCTTCACTTTCCTCTAATTATAGTGGCTTAGTGTTTTGTGAGGGTAAATATTAAAAACTTAATATTGTCTGTGGGAATCTGTCAGGGGTAAAAATTCTACTTGGGCTCACTAGAGAGCTATAATTAAGCATGTGCCTGTCTATTCATTTTATTTGACCTAAATGTAAAATGCAAGCTGTTAAGTTTGCAATCCAGGTGTAGGATGGTGATGAGGATTGATATTTAATTCTGTCACACCGATGCATGCAAGTCTTGTGTGCACACACACTTGCAAGTCTTTTTTTTTCCTACTAATCCTCATTTCCTTCATTCCCATGGTCCATTTCTAAGGACACTAGAAGCCTTTCCCAGGGGAATATTCTTCATGTATTATTTGACTCTATTGGCTATTAATCATCAAACTAGATCCTGTCTGTCTACATGAACTCTCCAGCCTGAATCCATTGGGTTTATGATCAGATGACAAGGTGGATATTACTATGTTAAAATGTTGCCCATACTTGATTAACTTGTCTGTGATCTATTGGTCTATATTTGCATCTGTGACATCCCAGTTTGTCTGTCAAAATATAATTAATTAAATAAATTTCAGGCAAAGTTCATCAACCCAAAAATAAGGGTCAGAGCTGCAGCATAACATTTTACTATGCAAGTATTGGCCCCCTGCCTCCCACCAGTGATCAAAACATTGAACTTATAAATTCTTTCCCAAAGTATTTATTAATAAAATATGATTCTGGAACCCACAAGTTTCCAGTGTTCTAAATAACCCATAATTCTTGGATAAAACTCAAGAATACATCATGTTTGGTCGTATTCTTGCCTTTGGATCAGAGGTTATGGATTCCTATCCCACATCAGGAATATAGCTCCTCATCTAGGCTGACACTCCAGTGAAATTCTGTCGGAGTGTTGCAATTGGAGGATTGTCCCCTTCAGATGAGATGTGATTAAACTGAGGGCCAGTCTACCTGTTCAAGTGAACGTTGAAAATATCCCTCACCAAATTCACTTGGCAAAATACTTTTGGCAATCTATCTTATTTGAGTATCTGAAACGCTGTGCCATAACTAGGAAACAGGTAGAATATGCGAAGTGTTTGTGGCCATTCACTGTGATTGAACCCCCTCTTGGATGTAACTATTATCAATAAATCATCTGAAATGAGGAATGAGAAAGCTACACAGTTAAGTGGCGAGGAAAGTAAATAATAGAATGAAATATTTCCTGCTGGAGTTCAGTTCTTCCTTTTTTAAAAAAAAACTAATTTTGTAATTGCATGTAATTTTAACTCCAGAATCTTTCATCACCACTGCCTTTTTATTAGATAGCATATAATTTATTATATAGTCTTTTATATTTATTATATAGTCTTTCCTTCTGAGCACTGCCTTGAGAGTGTCATATTCCTTGTTAATAGCATGTTTCCAGCATTATGAATACCAATTTCTTTAAAACATATTGCAAAATATTTTTTTCAGGCAACGTTTGTCGGCTGAACACTTAGCTAGACGACTGTTTAAATCATTCAGGACAATGTGGATGCCCCCAGAGTCTGAAATTCATCAATTTGACACAGTGGAAATGGTGTTGGATAAGGTACATGGCTATTGTGGTATTTTTATGTTGCTTCTAATTCAGCATCCCAAGTGTTGTATCATAGAGACTTAAAAAAACAAAATAACACTGAATGGTGGAGGTTGAAATGTTATCAGTGAAGTGGGTCTTACATTTGTTGCCAGGTGAACATTAAAACAACAATATTGTTTGGGTACTTCAGGCATATGGTGAATTTGAGCACAAAATTCTGTAGTGCACAGCTTAGCAGAAAGTTGCTTGACTGACTGTCCTCAAAGCACGACTCAAGAAACCAAGGCAATATAAGCATGATGATAACCAGTCATGGACTCAGTATTTGCATTTACCCTGTTGCACCTTGGGGTGAAACAACAACAACAAGATTACATTTGTATAGCACCTTTCACATCAGGAGGACGTCCCAAGGCGCTGGACAGAGTACAGCATTTCAGACCCGAGCTGGGGTTGTGGGGGGGAAGGGAGGGGAGGAGAAGAGAGGTGGCCAATGGCATGGTCAAAAAGAGGGTTTTGAGGCAGGACTTGAAGGTGTTTAAAGAGGAGGCGAGGCGGAATGACTGGGGGATGAAATTCCAGAGTTTGGGAACAGAGTGGCTGAAGGCTCTCCCGTCAATGGCGGATTATAAATTATCAAGTTTATTTATATATATATATATATATATTATAGTTTATATATTTTATAAATTATAAAATATATATAAATTATAGACCCCTCAGGCCACTGAAACTCTTGTTCGTGCCTTCATCACCTCCAGGTTCGATTATGAAAACGCCCTGCTTGTTGGCCTTCCCAACTCCTCCTTCCACAGGCTGCAGATAATCCAGAACTCTGCAGCCCGTGTCCTCTCCCGCACCATAATATATATAAATTATAAAAAACATAATATATATAAATTATAAAGTGGATTATAACAACAGAATTATAAAACAAATTCCATACTGCGGGCATTTTGTCTTTTGGGGTTTAGAACTATCAAAATAATAATCCTTGCACTTGATATTAGCACCTCATCATGTCTTTGAGACGTCCCAAAGCACTTCACAGAATATACTGCAAAGTGAATTGACTGTATATTTTGTGGGAGAAACGCGGCAGCCAATTGCACACGGCAATGTCCCACAAACAGAGGATCAGAATAGGATGGTTGACTTTAGCGTGAATTTAACCTCTCCTTTTGTTTCAGTTCCTGCCGCTGAAGGACACTCTGCCTGGTGCCGAGGAGTCTGTGGACTTGACTGCAGATTTCAAACTAAGTTCCCGTTTGAGAGGAACTGAAGACTGGGCACCTCCTCGATTTCAGATTCTGTTCTTCCTCCATCCGCCGCAGAAGTAAGTGGTCAGCAAAGTCTTCCATCTCGACAAATTGTGTGGAGCTGTTCTGCAGATTCTGCTATCATTTTCAATGAATTGCGGAAAACTGAATTGAACAATTTCCCAAATTCTACAGAATCTCAAAATTTTAAGATGTTTTCAAGACTGTAGAAATTTTGGGCCACATTTGCATTTGTACATAGTTGTGTTGTATTTCTCTATTGCTTTAGTGTATTTGGACGTCACTGTAACTGGTCACACTGCAGGAAAGTGTCTTGTATTCCCTCCAGAAAGATAAGAATGTCTGCAAATATTTTTGTGAAATTAATTTGTTTTTATTAACTAATTTTAAATGGAAACGAAAGGCTTTAAAATGCTGGTGTAGGACAAGTTCCTAAATGTGTATTTTTAACAACAAATATTGTGGGGTTAATGCTGGAAAATAAATGACTCGGTCTTCTTGAAACATAACCACAAGGGCTACTTTTGGTTCCTAAACCTTTTTTGCTTTTGTAGGAGAGAAGCTGTTGTAGCTGCTCAAAATTCTATGTGCGCTGGCTGTGGAACTCCAATAGAGCTCAGTAAGTAACAGAGTTACAATGCTTTGTAGACCTCAGGAAGCTATAGGCGTAATTCCTCAACCAAATGTTCACAAAACAAACCCAAGAAAGCACTGAGCTGTCATCTATCTTCTCCAAATACAACCAAGAGAAGTACTCTGCTTCTGCCGCCACAGAATATTGCCTTCTAATTTATATTAACTAATGACCTTTTTAAATGGTTTACATTTTCTGCATTATCTGAGTAATGGAGTCTTAATTTGCAGTATTTCTTAATGGTGTAGCATTAGAATTCCTGCTGACCCACGGGATCATTGCTGCAGGAACAGATTCCATCCATTGGAGTTCACATAGGTTGGTTTGATGCGCGAGTATTTACTGGAAGTCCCTGTTTTTTTTTTAAAAAAAGGGCTATTTGGAAGTCTCCAAACATTAGATCCAATGAATAAAATGAAGATCAGATTTATTGACTGTCCAACCGCATTTAAACCAACAAGTGAGTTGTATTTCTTGGTATGGCATAACTTGAATTAAGTTAAACAGTAAAGGGAGAGAATGTGAATTGTAATTCGACAATAAATCTAATGTAATTTGATTAAAAATTTAATAAGCTTTAATCTTTCTGCAGAATATATTAAAAAGCTGCGTTATTGTGAATATTTGGGGAAATATTTCTGTGAATGCTGCCATCGGAATGACGAGTCCCCCATCCCAAGCCACATCCTAACAAAGTGGGATTTCAGCAAGTATCCAGTGTGCAATTTTTCCAAGCAGCTGTTGCAGAGTATTTGGAATGACCCACTATTCAACATATACTGCATCAACAAAGCTCTCCTCAGCAAAGTAAAGGAGCTGAGAAAAAGTGTGGTACGTAGCCTGAGTGTTTTTGCTTCCCTAATATGTGATGGGTCAGATTGATATGTGTTCAAGTTACTGACCCAAGTCTAAAAGGAGAAGTCACAAAGGGTATTATCAAGTTACACTTTGAAGAGCAAACTGTCATTTGGTCCTCCTTTCTCTTCTGAGCAGTCTGCTAAATGGGGGCCACTTTTGTGCGGTGGTAGTTTACCCATTAACAACTGGGTTGTGTTGACCCACATTCACTCATTCGTTCATGTGACTCTACAGCTCAAAACTGAGTTGTCCACTGATCAACTAAACTAAGAAAAAAAATTCTTAATTTCCTCAAATAATAATACTTTGTCCTGAGTGTCTCATATGGAGCAGTTCTGTATCACATTTATAGTATTATAGATAGTGATTTGTATCAGTAGGTGGCAGTGAGCAAGTGTAATCTGACTTTTTCCTTTCTCTATGCAGGGAATTCAAGAGAAGCTAATTCACATTAAGAAGTTGTTAAGCTCCTGTAGACTGGCTGAAAGGTAACATGTTCTTTTGTATTCAAATAAAAATAATGCACCTACATAAATAAGAAATGGCCCAGAGGTGATTCAGCAACTAATTTCTGTATAACCCAGTGACAACTTGTATCCCCTTATCTTTGGGTCTGCCACTTAATCTGTACAGGATATCCTTTTCTTTGTGTTTATTTCTTTAAAAGATTGGTATGAGTTCACTCCATATTGTATTAATACTGACCATTGATAGGAAAGCTTTTGTTTAGAAAGTCCTAGGAGTAACAGACTACCTGTTGCTGTATATGGTTACATACAGCAGATTTTTGCAATGTACTACAAATTCAAAGGCACAAATTTAGCTGTCTCTAGAATTTGTCTAATATGGAGCAGTACTGATGTGCACAAGGTGTTGTAAATAAAATTAAATCCCCTTTTCAAAATTGAAAGTCCATCGCCAGAATGAATGGTGTAAATGTAGATATCCTGATGCTGTAGTTTATTTACTCTTTGTGTGTTAAGGTTGCAGTGCAATCTGTTTGTATATCATGCCACATTATTGTGATATTTCTGATACAATTTGCAACTGAGTAATTCTTATTCATTGCCATTGGCTAATGTATCCTGCCCTCTAATATACAAAGGCAAATTGATTTGTTTTAAACTAGAAAATTAAATATGGATCCAAATAGTTTTCAAACCAAGTTAAACAAAATTATTGAGTTACTGATAGTGTCATATAAACTCAAAACAAAATATGTGTGGTTACATTACTGGAGACGCAATCACAGCATTTAATTTGATGCTTCAGTGGTTTCAGGTGCCACTTGATTTAATTTCTAGAAATGCAAAGGTTTACATTCTCCATACATGTAGCAAAATAATTAACAAATATGCTGTTTGATTACCTATGTTTTTTTGTAATCCTTTGTCTCTTTTCTGTAGTGCCATGATGGAATTTCAGCAAGTACACCCTCATTTGACAAGGGAGCTGTACCTTTATTCCCTCAACGATCTTACGAGGATGAAATGTGGCTTGCTTGTTCCAGGGCTAAAAGATATTCTAAAAACTGCACTTGCTCATGTGGAAGATTGTCAGGTAATCTCTGCTTGAATCTCTTTGTAGAAAGTGACAGAAACCCACAAGGAAGTGATCCTGAAGTGTGTGCTTGTCAATGACGTTGCTAAATTGGTCCCTGTGAGGAGGGAACCTGAATCTATGGCTCTCTCTTCAATTCTCAAAACTCTGATATTAAAGCAATCATGATGATGGTTCATTTTCAACATCACCCTCTAAACTTTAACTATATTAAAACATGAAGTACTTTGCCCTCTTTCCCTTTATTTACAACATATCCTCCAGAGTCTGCCTGGCAGACTTTATTCAATATGAAGAGTTTATGGATAAAACGAGATTGAACACTGCTATTAATGTAAAGTCCCTTTGATTTTAAGTATTTAATTTCTTTTATTTTAGTTGTGTCTAGGAAAAGGCTTCATCTGTGAATTCTGCAAGAATAAGAAGGTTATCTTCCCCTTTCAGACAAACCAATGCAAACGATGCAATAGTGAGTATTCTGGTACTTTTTCAGAGGAGGATTGCCCATGCTAGCAATGGAACTTTTCTATTTTGGAGACACTATTGGTTCAGGATAGTTATAGTGCAGACGAGAGAAGTTGTTCCTCCCCGATGTACTTTTAACCCAATTCTCAGGAGAGCAGCCCACTACACTCACCTTTCTTAATTGGTAATAAAGTAGCAATTAATGGATGAAAATGATAATCCTTGCATTTGACAAAGCACCTTCTTCCACCTCCACCACATTGCCCGCCTCCGTCCATATCTTGCCCAAATGCAGCTGAAACCCTCGTGCATGCATTTGTCACCTTCCCCCTGGATTATTCAAACACACGCCTCGCAGGTTTCCCCAGCTCCACTATTCAAAATATCCTGCTCATTCAGAAATCTGCTGCCCACGTACTTACCCGGACCAAACACCGTACCCACATCTCACCAGTTCTGGCCAGGCTCCACTAACCACAGAACCCGCCCCCCATCACTGAGTGGATTGACTTCAAGATCCTCACACTTGTGCTTAAATCCCTTCACTCTCATCCCAATCCAGCACCTCCGCTCATCATCTTCGGAGATCACACTTTCAGTCACTATGTCCCGAAACTCTGGAACACTCTCCCTCAATCCCTCTGCCTTGCCGCATTTCACCACTTTTTCAAGTCCCGACTGAAAACCTTCCTCTTCGACCGTGTTACGCGCTCTGAACACTGCCCTGCGTGGAGGGCACTGTATAAGTTCATGTTTTATTATTGAAACATTTCAAAGTGCTTCAAGATTTAATGCAGATTCTAGTGTTTGTATTTTGTAGGTGAATGTGACAGCCATTATGCAGACAGCATTGTCTCCTTGTCTCAGCTGCGAGATTGTTGGCCATAACACTTTCTCTTTTCGCATCATGGAGTCCTGTAGCTCAGTCGTTAGAGCACTCGCTTTGCAAGTGAGAGACCTGAGTTCAATTCCAGGCAGGGCGAAACCTTGGGCAAGTTTCCTTACTCCACACGCCTAATAATAATCCCTCCAAAAAACCAAAAACAATAATAAAATTGGTCATTTTCAATCTACGACTGTTTGTGGGACATTGCTGTGCGCAATTGGCTGCCGCGTTCGCCCACAAATATACAGTCAATTCACTTTACAGTGTGTTCTGTGAAGCTATTTGGGACGTCCTCCCGACGTGAAAAGCACTATATCAAATGCAAGGATTATTATTATTATTATTATTATTATTATTATCATGCATGGAATCTTTGAACATCCACCTATATAGGCAGATGGGACATTTGAATTTGATTGACAATTTAGTTTCAATTTTACTGCAACAATTGCAGTCCATTTCAAGTGTATATATGAACTGTTGTGAAAATTATTTTAATTCACTAACTTTTTGTTGTTGCATTCCAACCATCAGCTTGCAAAGCTTGCTTCCATAAAGATTGCTTCAAATCAGAAGAGTGTCCAAAGTGTCTGAGAATTCAGACACGAAAAGAATTGCTCCTCACTTTTCAGCAGCCCATGGATTAGGAAGTTATGTGGAGTCTTCAGATCTGATGTGATACAATTGGAATGAGTTGATCACTTATACAACGAAAATGTAACTGAAGCCCAATATGAACCAAACTTAATCCTTTTTAAAATTGAATAACAAACGGCGTCTGGAACGCTATGATTTGATTATGGATTCTGTGCATCACAAAACCAAACTTTTTCATGCACTATAAACTTGTAGGGACCCATAGCAATAGCACAACTAGGAGATATATATAATATGTATATATATATATATATATATATATATAATTTAACAGACATGTCCAGTGTAAATGAAGTCTAAGTAGCGGACACGATTATCCGAAAGCCAGAGAAGTTTACCCTATATGTTTTCTCAAATTAGGACTTCAAGACAAGATTTTATTTTTTTACTATCCATACAACGCAGCTAGTTCTAACATGTCACATAATGCTAAAATGTATTTTATGCAGTAGTCATGAAGCAAATGAGTATTTAGGTTTTGCTTCTATGCACCACAATTGTTTTCTTGGGTAAGGAGCTATGAATTTACAACCTCCCTCCTCCCAAACGATGACCTTTTTGTTTATTTAAAAAAAAGTGAAATGTCTCTCCAAACTGCATAATTCTACAGGAATATTCTGCAGGAATAGTGGTAGAATATTATCTTGTAGGGGGGAGGGGGGTTGGGAAACTGCAAAATAATATGATTGGACCTTCTTGTGTAGCATCAACAGTGATCACTCACTTCCAAGTTTCCAAAATAAACATTCTGGGTATGAATATTAGGTTTGCATCTAATAGCCATTGATACTGTTTTGATGCAGATTAAAAAGGAACCTGATATTAACCTGTAGACTGCCTCCACCCGCCCCCCCCCATTACTCATCTATTTTGTAGTTACTTACTTTTTGTATACACAGCGTGCTTGCATCACAATCAGTTGGTTAAAGTCCAAAAGTAACAAGCCTCAAAGCTTCAATAACACCGGATCAGAAAGGAAGAATCAAGAGCTTAATATTTCTCCACTTTCTCACTTATTGGACAACCTCTTAACTCTTCCATTCTGATCTTTACGGATGTTTTCTGTGGTTATTCTTTCCTCTTTAACCAGCTGATTGTCAGCCATGCTTCTCCAATCCCCCCCCACCCCTCACCGTACAACACTTGTGAGTATTTACCTACAGCACTTGTTTGTAGATAAATGATAACCTTTTAAAATTCAGGGCATTGAACCTTAACTTGAGCAACCTTTATGTAGAAAATGAGTGGATTTCCTAGACTTGGCTTGTCCTTCAAAAATATGAAACTATTTACTCCCTCCAACTCTTGTGCTTTACTCCTTCATGCAGCCACGTTAATACAACTACACAATTTTCTTTAGAAATATGGCTCATGGAGGGAAGGTATTAACAATTCTGTTCGATTTTGTTTTGCATTTAACTGGATGAAAGTCCTGCTCTTTGTTTGAGCCTGGCTGCTGAAATATTGACATTGATTAGTGAGTAAAGAAGCTGTACTTTCAAACTCTTGCTAAACACAACCATTATAACGGCAAATAGGAGGTTTTCTCATATGGTACTTAAAAAAAAACATTTTATAACTTGAAAATATATTTTAGACAAGCCAATGTACTCTATGTATTTAAAAAAGAAGCGTATGTATATTTAAAAAAAAGCAAAACAAATTGTATAAATGTTCTGACATTGTATGCTCTATTTGTTGTCCATTTCCTTTTTTTTCTTGCAGGCTACATTACTGTGTAAAGCCAAATTCAGCATTAGATTTCTCCATTTTAATGGCTTGAGTGAAGTATTTAAGGCTTAGATTTCAAACCGTTAACAGGGTAATGGCTGCACAATAATGTATAACAATTGTTTTGTTTGGGGAGGATGAGATGTGGTTTGTCACAATCTAATGATGTGCTGATATCATTCATGAACAAGCAAAAGCTTTGTAAAACACTTTGTGAAAGATCATGTTTCTTTTAAAGGAAAACATTACTCTGGGTGAAATGTTTTCAGGTAAAGAACTTATTTTCCTTCCCTCCCTAAACTTTTTTAAAACTAGGTTATATATTTTAGGTCCATTGTCAATCTTTTTCCCTGTTTTTCCAATGAACAATACAATGACCTAATTTGGAGGATTTGCATAATTATGACCTTATGTTGCACCATCTGTTCTTGGCCATTCTGGCTTGGTAAGACTTGGACTCTACTGTTTCCAAAGATGACAACTATGGAGATCTCACTGACACTAATTTTGCTTCATGTTTCACTGCACAGCAAAAGAGAGAGAAACCCTATGAAAACATTACGTTTTAGGGTTTTGACAGAAACACTGTACCTTTACAATCCACCTTGGTCTCTTTCTTCTCAGGTTCAGAGCATCGAAGTCGGGTTGTGCTTAAGGTGATCAAAGTATGACATCTATTCTGGCTGCTCCTTAGCATTTTATAATGTTGGGAAGATTTGTTTTCAAGTTCAATTCTACACAGTTCAATATATTTCCCTTTCTAACCTCATTATGTACGATTGAATCAAAGACTTCATTTTGTTAAATTAAAAATACATAGAATTGCAGATGTTTCCCCTTATTTTAAATTAAGTGATCTGATGTCTTAAATGACTATGATGTGGAGTCTGAGCTGATATTTCAAACTGGAAAGGAGGGAAATCAAGGTGAATGACATTGAGCTACAATTACATTTTGCCAAACAATTTGAAAGTAAATAACTTTCCAAAATTCTCATTCCCTTACTGTATAGCAACATCTATTAGCAGGTAAGGGTTTCAAATTGATTCTGGCAAAGTCCAAAGATTATTGTTAGAGAATTTACTCCTGTGTGCATTACTACATAGCAAATTTGTTGACGTGGGTTGAATATTATCACTTTGTTAGGTAAGTACTGTATAGTGAATTTATGTCTGTGCACTTTTACAAATAACTAATGCAATTTGAAGTGTGCTTTTGTTTTATATTTATAGTTGTGTCTTACTGTATTTATAAAGTAAAACTGGGCTTGCCTAATGGAGCATAATAGTATTTAGCCGACATCAAGGAATTTGTTACTAGGAGCAAAGTTAAGTTGGTGATTCATTTGAGTTACAGTGCTTGGTCCTACAGTATATGCTGAGCTGACTTAATTTTGCAAATTTAACTTAAGTGGTTCTGCCAAAAAAAATCTATAAAGCCAGGAAGTTTTATTTTATTCTCAATGTCAATCCAAAAGCAACATGGAAACCTTCCACATCTGGTGCCCCAATGAGAATCATGCAGTCATTTTTCTCTCTACTTGGCTATAGCAAGACCCAATGTGAATGGTGTGCAAGGGATTGCTGTGAACTAGCAAAATTGAAATGGAAAAATAAAATTAATTAGCATAAACAGTTGACATACCTTTGTGTAAACTTTGTATGAGTTGTACCTTATAGGATTTATAATTAAGAGCTAAGATTTTACTTTTTTTTAATATGTTAGAATCATTGGCCCTCAAATGCTAGTTGCATTTGGCCAGTAAAGGAGATTTAAGACTATTTTATATACCAGAATGGATGAGACAAATGTAAGTTTTTGCTCACTTTCATAAAGTTATGGGGAAGAAGGAAGGGTTAGGCAGGTGGAAGAAAATAACTAGAATAGTCTTGGGGTCTTCTTTTCTATTCTCCCTCCCCTCATTTCTCTGTCCAAGACATTAATGAGAAAAATATCATGACCATGTCCATTCAGAATCAATGTCCCATTAATGTCAGCTATCCATCCCCATGACTTACAAAACTAATATTTTACCTGGCTTCCCTAGTGGATAGCTTGGTGGGGTGAATGACCCTTGTAGTGTGGTCATGAACCATACCTGGGGAGCTGTGTCAGACCTTCAATACAGGAAGGGGAGAAAAACAAGTAAACTGGAAGGAGAAGCTAAATATTTCCTGCTAGTGGTTTAGGATGCTGGCTTAGTGCATCTGTTAATGAACCAAATTGCAAAAGCTCCCGATAGCTGTGGAAACATGCACTTTCTATCTTGCTGAGCCATACAGACCAGGAGGGCTGGATTTTAATTCCTGTTTTGTCATAACTTAGTTAATTGGATAGTTGTGCAGATTGTACAATTGGACACAGTAGGGCCCCAGGTTTAGGAAGGAGNAAAAAAATTGAGTTCACTCTTGAAAGCTATCCAATGAATCCTGTCCTGCTAGAAGTGTTCGTGTTTGAAAGTGGGTGAGGATATAACCAGACCCAGGGTGTAACTCTGGTTGTAAATGTCTGGTTGACATTTGCTGCCCAGATTTATATAAGTAATTTTACTGGACGATTGGGCTGATGGCACCAATGGACCAGTGAATCATTAGTTATATTTTCAGAAGTGAGTTAGTGAGAAAACTAATGATGTAACATGGCTGACTAACCTAATTAAGGTTTAGTTCTCCAGTATCCTCCAATATAAGATTTACTCAAGTACTTTATTGAATATGCTTCTTCACCCTACAGTAATGTCTTCCTTTACATAATTGTATCATTATCAATGTTTTTTTAATTGTAATGTATGTTTTGAACTGACTGCCTCATACTACCAAATAAGGCCTTAGATTTTTGTGTATTTGTGACTGAAGATTTGGCATTTTGGACACTATTTGCTTTATGTACAATTTTGTTGCACCTGTGTTTTCAAGAAATCATTTTGCACAAGCATAATTTGTGCACTGTTTCAGTGCACAATAAAATTGATTATTTCAAAAGCTTAGCATGAAGATGTGTTTTCTTTTCAACAAAACACAAACTTCTGCTTCAGTAATCTGTTATGAACTGCCTTCACCATCGCTATCCCAGATACATTATCTTTGATTGATCTGAAATTCAACATTAATTCTCGACAAACTTGTGTTTTATATTGAATATAAATAATTAATCATTGCACCTGATGTAGCACCCTATCACCAATTGTCTACATCTCTAAGCCCTTTGTGTGATTTTTACTGTAAATTCACAAATAATTTATGTATCACGTATTCTCCAGTGCTTGTAAAATTAAGATTTAGCAGCATAAGGCACTTGAAAGTTATCCAATGTTCTTTATAAATATATTTTAAGTGGGATGGTTAATTTAGCACAGGTAATTGTCTCAAGTGTTATTTTTTGTTCCATTTCTCCTATCTACCTCTGTGACCTATTAACACCATACCAACCTAATTTGCCTATAGTCACTACATAGTGAATCCTTTTGGGATGTCTCAGCAATGTGAAGCTATATCAAATGCAAGTATTATTTTTACTTTGTTTTAACTGTCAGTTGCAATGCCGCAAAGTCAACACGTATGTACAGTTGGAAAAATAGAGCTCTTGACTGCCCAGGGGCCACATATTCGAATTATGTAGATGATATGATTTAATAGCAAATAGGTATTTGTGAAATGTTCTTCATATTAAATGTTTGGAGCATGAAGTTCTCCTTTGTTTGCTAAAGTTAAATAAGTGTGTAGCATACGACAGAAGAGTTTTGAAGATTTCAGGTTCTAATCATAGAATCATTTTATTTCTCACCAATTGTACACACTTTCACTTTTGAAAGTGCAGAACATCTGTAATAACTTAAGGAGTAAAACAAGACTGCTATACAATTGAATACAGATAAAACTGAACTATTTTAAAGAGGTTTGAGTGTTGCATTAAAGTAATTAAACATATCACAGTATACTTAAAGATTTTGCTACGCATGTTTACTTTAATTAGTACTTTAAGTACAAACACTAAACATTTCCGCCAAAAAAAATTCTGAGATTAACCTTTCTTGAATGTTACATTGTTTCATGTTTGATGCCCCTTGCTGTTACATCAACTTTTATTAACTGCCTTTTCCAGTCAACACTGTTCAATGATAGATAACGTTGATCAGTGATTCTGTCTGCATCATAAAATGCGCTTTGCATGATGGTGAGCAGGAATGAAACAAAAAAGGAAGATTCTCAATACCAAAGATCTTTCTGCATGGCCGGATGATACGAAGTCCTGATCCATACATGGGTCCACCACAGCAATCACAAACAGTTGCGCTATTATAAGAAATTAAACCCAAATTAATTTAGAATAAATTAAACTGTAAATATATTTGTATATAAAGATGTTATTTATTGCCCTGTAGCAGTAATTTTTAAATGAAAAATATCACAAGAGCTTTCAACTAAATTGAAAGAAGCTTATAAATAGTTTGTAGATTCCACCTACAAAATTACACTGAATACAATGGAAAGTAAAACAAGGGGCATAAAGCTCTAAATTATAAACTACTCTAGGATTAGATCCACCTCAGTCTGAGCTATTGTTGATTTCCAAATGGACAGCTGGCCTTTAAAAATTATTTTGTCATTGCATGTTAATCATGTGGCAACCAAACTAAGCTCTGCATATAAGATGTAGCTCCCTGCAATCTTCAGTTTGTTTTGATTGATATGAAATATGATTTATATCACAAGCTCTATGGGGCCTGAGGGGAAGGAACTCAGGATGTAATTAATTGGAAGGAAGAAAGATGAAGACTTTCACATGTACACAGAAGACACCTAAATCTCCATTCCCACATCTACTCTTGATACCCCACGGGATCCCCACGGGATCGAGCTTTGATCCCCAATTGTTGAATGGTCTGGCAGAACACTATAATAATAATCCTTACATTTGATATAATGCTTTATCACGTCATCAAGACATGTCAAAACACTTCACAGGATATACTGTAAAGTGGATTAAATTTATATTTTGTATGTGATGCTCACACATCAAGAGTAGCCACTCTTTGAAGCAACAGTTACAAACGTACCCAGTTTGTGTCATTCCCTTGAAGTTAGGAGAGGAGGCGAGAAATATAAAAAAGTGAATCAAGATTTTAAATTAAAAGAAACAATCAGCAATAACTATGGGGTGATTTTAGCACATATTCCAACTGGGAAACATAAAAAACAAACTAAAATCTGATAAGAGATTATTCAAAATACGGTATTAATTTTTATTAGAGCAAAATGGTTTGTTTGGTTGTAGATGTCAGATACATTAGTGGAAATCATATTACAACAAATGTGTAATATGTGGGTTAATTGACCCCACTGTCTCAGTCTGATGAAAAATGAATTACTCTACTTACCGGTTCAATATATTTTGAATATCTTTTGGAATATCAGTGTAATGCTGCTGTAAGTTATTCCTGGTGAAGACACGAGCAGCCAAGTGACTCAATTTCTGAGGTTTGTTTTGAGAGTTTTCCTTCCATAGCAGAGGATGCAAGAAATTACCTTCAAGTCGTATTTGCTTTAAGTGAAGTTTCAGAAGACCTTGTGGCAATGCAAACAATTCATTTCCTTCAGCATTTAGAAACTGGAGTTTCCTGAATAATAGAATTGCACATAAAACATAATTAAGGAAAGCAGCAACAATCCATTTTGTTGATTAGATGCAATTCAATTTACATTTTTACAGGAAGGATGACCAAAAGTACAGTCAAAGAGATAGGACAAACTATGATTATAATAATAATCTTAATCTTTGCATATAAAGATATAGTACCTTATGTCATTGAGGCATGTCAAGCGTTTCACAGGGTATACTGTAAAGTGATGTCCTGTGTGTGTATTGTGGGTGGACCTGCAGCCAATTTGACACAGTCATGTCCCACAATACTGATTAGGACAAATGCCCAAATGTATCAAGTCAAAATAAATTTGTGGAAAAATAACAGATATGTAAATTCACTGAATATTTTTAATTAAAAAAGCAATTTAATGTATATTTCACTTATGAAAGAGGATAAAAATTATGAATTTACTGTATCTTCAAAATATATGTAACCCTCACGTGGTGGAGTGTCTTGACACGATCACTCATAGCAGAAGACGCACAAATTACTCTAACCTGACAGTCACCCTCTGTCTCCCTGCCCTAACATTGCAAGGCCTGCCCTCTTGACACAGAAGGGTTAAGCTTAGGGGTCAGAGGTAACCCAGCATCGTCAAACAATGCAATTGGAGAGCAGATACAATTTACAGTAATATTCAACAAATGAGTCATTAAATGTATATTAAAAGCCTTTAACCAAATCTAGTATCTACTATACTATAAAAAGAACTAGTCAATGCTGATGGTGAGTTGATAGAGGTAGGCTATGATTCGAACAGATGCTAGATTTACTATAGATATGAAACACTGATTTACAAACCTCACCTTAGGTTTCTAATTTCATTGGGAATGATTGATATGCTGTTGTAGGCAAAATTCAGTGATTCAAGTTCCAGCAAGAGAAATATTCTGTGAACAAATTATTCATATTTTTCATTATTGTCTTTATTAAAGATCAGAAAATGGAAAATAGGTTTCAATATGCTAAGCTTAAAAAAAAACTGCATGTCTTTCATGCTGGGAGGATATCCCAAGGTGCTGGATAGTTGAGGGTTTACACACAAGCTGGGAGTTGGATTCAGGAGGGGAGGCCAAAGGGGTGTGGATGGGGGAAGATGACTGAAAGTGTAGTTTGATCAGGAAGGTGTAATCTGCCTACATGTGGCAGTTAACCCCATGCTTGCCGATGACACTGTCAAGTGGGGGCATGTAGATATTCAAGGGGAGACCGGGGATAGAAACTTGAGGAATGCTGCACGTGACAGTGCGGAGGCAGGAGAAGCTGTTGACAGATATAAAATGAATACCAGATGTCAGTACACTCATTATCACCCTGTCATTGATTAACACTATTACATGGAAAGATACAGCATTCAGCTGGCACAGTATACTCTGTCTTCGTGCAATGTACAACCTCACTAAATAACATCATTCAATATAATTTCTTTATAACTTTTGAAATATTTACAACATTGAGTAATGTACATTTGTAGAAGTAGAGAAACTCCAGGTGTCAGCCTGGCTCAGTTGATAGCGCTCTTAAAACTGACCTTCTGAATCAGAAGGTTGTGGGTTCAAGACCTGTGTTGGGAGACCGAGAACTACTAAGGAATCTCAAATCGTCACTGCATGTATATTAGTGAAACCTCATGGTTTGATCATCGACCTGAACAAGCAAATAGGATCTCAGTGTCATGTCTCATTCAAAAGATACAATGCAGCGCATCTCCAGCACTGCATTGGAGTGTCAGCGTAAACTATATCAATTCCACGTCCCAACATGGGGCTTGAACTGACAACCTTCTGACTCAGGCGCAGGCTGACTGAGCCAGGCTGACACACAGATAGGCCAAGGCAACAGAAAAAAAGGCAACAGGTTCAAGTCTGTGATGGGCAAAAGTAAATCTTAACAGACGTTGGAAGGTATTTTATTACTCAGAGTATTAAACGACTGGGATTAGAGTGGTTACCAGAAAGGTCTAGAACTAAGTTACCTAGGTTACCTAAGTCTTTGGGCTTATTTAAGAAACAGATTATGCTGTAAAGAGATGGTAGGTTGATACATTGAAATGGGTAATAGAGCCTTCTTTACCCAAACCTCATCTATGATCATGAAATTTAGCTGCTGTTGTACTAGCAGCTATGTACTATCTTCCTTGGGAGGAGGGTACACAGGTTCTCCGTGCAGCTGAATTGCCTCCAAGCTAACATGCTTGGTAATGGAATGTTGGAATCAAGTCAACTCTCTGTGATGGTCTCAGTAGTCCAGTTCCTGAGCTTGGTGGGTCCAGACCACTGTTGATGGCAGACCAGCGACCCACGATCATCAGCAGGACTCGGTGGAGCAGACAAGTAACTGGAAGATGGGGATTCTTGTCACTTAATTCCTATTAACCTTAGAAGCAAAATCCCTAATGGTGAGGGTAGTCATAGCTGAACAAACATTATTGAGAAGCCTTAGAAAAATGAATGTAGAAACCTGTTAGCAAAGGTAAAATCTTGTGATTTTTTTACCACAACTCATGATCTATATCATACAGTTATGATCTAGAACTTGATAATAGATTCTGTAACACTCTAGGACTATTTTACCCGAGAGGCAGAGTTGACACCAAGCAGAAGGACATGTCGAATAATCTCAATTTGGTAAGTTTTTCAATACCAGGAGGAATCTTTTTTATTGGGTTGTCTCTTATATTCAGCATTTGAAGTTCATGCAGATCAAAAACCTAAAAGAGAAATAAACTAGAAAATTTGTTGTAAACATACCTACAGTTAATTTTCTTTATAAATGTACAAACAACTAGTAACATTGTATGATTAAGTGGAATAGTGATAACTCACCTATAAACTAACTCAACCTGAAGAAACCTGACAGATTGTGTTGGGAGACCAAAAGAACACCCACTTTTTCCTGCCTAACATCCAGTCCCTGACTAAGACCACTTTTTTCACCGTTGCCACATCACACACCTCCATCCCTGCCTCACATTCAATGCTGTTGAAACCATTGTCCATTTCAAAGTAGACAAATCATCCATGTCTTCTACACCTTTAGCCTGGATTTATTTTGATTACTGTTAGATTATTTATCCTAGATTTACCTAGTTCTGTTATCCACAAGCTCCAAATAGATCATCCAGAATTCAATCACTCACATCCTTACTGCATTAAACCACTCACGCATCACTCCCATCTTCATTGGGTTCCACTGGCTCCCTTTTTTTTCGGTGGATCAATTTCAAGATCTTTACAGTCACCTTCAAATCACAACACTCCTTTGCTCCACCTTTCTCTATCTTCTCCAGCCTCTCTCTCCTGCACACCTTCTCCATTCGACAAACCCTAGACTGTTGTGCATCCTTCACTATCCACCCACCACTGGTGGCTGAACCTTCAGTCACTACTATGCCTCTATGCTCTGGAGCTCCTTCCCTAAATTGCTCCACCTGCCTTTACTACCTTTTTTTCGCCCAAAATATACAGTCAATTCACTTTACAGTATATTCGGTGAAGCGCTTTGGAACATTTCGAAGATGTGATAAGGGGCTATATCAAATGCAAGGATTATTTTTTATCTTTTTCCCATGTTTTTTCAGAAGGTGACTTTTAACTCTCAGTTTGAACATGAGTTCAAACATGAGAACAACAGCTTGTCCTTACCACTTGAGGGAGTGCCAGCAAATAGTTGAATGACATGTTGAGATACTTCAATGTGTCGATCAATACAGTAATATTAGGAAGATGATGAATAAAATGAGCCTGCAATACAATATATAATATTAAACAAAATGCTAATGACATTCTTTAAAATTCTTATTTCACTTGAAAATTCTTATGAATGACAAAAAGAAAATGCCTGCAGATGAAAGGTGTGACAGTTGGAGTTGGAGGCGAGGCACTCTGGCCCCTACCCATCCCTCCCTCCACACATTCAAACCTGTCTACCCCTCCTCTCTCACCACCACTATAACAGCATGCTCCCTCGATCATATCCCTAACCCTCTCCTTACCTCCCAGCTCCACCTCCTCACGCCTTTACTCTCACAGCTTGTCAACTTCTCCCTGTCAACTGGCACTGTTCCCATCCCTCTAAAAATAGCTGTCATCAGCCCTATCCTAAAAAATTCTTCCTTGGATCCATCCCTGCTCACAAACTACTGCCCCATCTCCAACCTCCCCTTCTTTTCCAAGGTCCTTGAAATAGTTGTTGCTTCCCAGCTCCGCTCCTTCCGCTCCTGCCACTCCCTTCATGAACCCCTCCAATCGGATTCCCGTGCTATCCAAAGCAAGAAACAGCCCTGGTCAAGATGACAAATAACATTCTGTCCACCTGTGACCAGGGTCTCCCTCTATCTCCTCGTCCTCCTCGACCTCTCTGCTGCCTTTGACACTGTGGACCACTCTATCCTACTCCACTGCCTCTCCTATCACCTCAACCTTCATGGATCTGTCCTTGAATGGTTCAGATCCTATCTCTCTCCGGCTCCACTTTGTCTCCACAAACGGTTTCTCCTCCAGCTCCCACACCCTCTCGTATGGTGTTCCTTAGGGTTCTGTCCTTGGTCCTCTCCTCTTCAACCTGTACATGCTCCCTCTTGGTAAAATCATCTGCAGATATGAGGTCAACTTCCACATGTATGCAGATGACATCCAACTCTATCTCTCTGCCTCCACCCTTGACCCCAGGACCACTGACGAGCTATCAGACATCAAGTCCTGAATGAGAGACAAGTTTCTACAGTTGAACGTCAGCAAGACCAAAGCTCTCCTGATTTGCTCGCGCCAGCACCTTTGTATCTCAGGCACTGGCAGCATCAGCATCCATGGATGCACCCTCCACTTCACCAAGCCAGTCAGGAACCTTGGTGTCTTGTTCGAACTTCAACTGTCTTTTCTCCCCCAACATTCGTGCCATGACCTGCTCTGCCTTCCCCACCTTCACAATACTGCCCAAACCCGCGACTGCCTTAGACCTCAGGCCATTGAATCCTTCATATATGCCTAATTACATCTGGGCTCAACTATGCCAACTCCCTGCTTGTTGGACTTCCCAACTCTTCCCTCCACTTGTTGCAGATCATTCACAATTCTGCAGCTTGTGTCCTCTCCAACACCAGACCCCATCACACCCACTCTCGCCCAGCTCCACTGGCTCCCCATCCTTCAGAGGATCAAGTTCAAAATCTTTGTCCTCACCTTCAAGGCCCTCCATGGCCTTGAAGTTGAACGTCAACAAAATCAAGGCTCTCCTGATTGGCTCCCATTAGCTCCCATTAGCTCCTCCACGCCTCAGGCGCTGACAACATCACCATCAATGGTTGCACACTCCACCGTGCTAAGCAAGTCAGGAACCTAAGCATCTTGATTGACCCTCAACTATCCTTTCGATCCCACATCTGCAACATGACCCACTCTGCCTTCCCCACCTCCGCAACATCGCCAGGCTCAGCCACTGTCTCACACGGCAGGCCATCGAAATCCTCATACATGCTTTCATTACATTGAGGCTCGATTATGCAAATTCATTGCTTGTCGGCCTCCCCAACTCCTCCCTCCATAGGCTGCAGAACATCTGCAGCCCGTGTCCTCTCCCGAACTAGGCTCCGCGACCCTATCACCCCTATCCTCAGCCAACTGCACTGGCTTCCCATCACACAGAGGATACAGTTCAAGATGCTGGTCCTCACCTTCAAAGCCCTCCATGGTTTTGCACCCTTCCTACCTTTGTGACCTCCTAACCTCCTACCATCCTGCTCGCTCCCTCCGCTCAGCAGGCTCCGGCCTGCTTCACGTCCCCCACTTCGCTCGCCCCACTATTGGCGGGTGGGCCCTCTGCCACTCTGACCCCATCCTCTGGAACTCCATCCTGCAATCCCTCCGCCTCACCCCCCTCCCTTGCCACCTTCAAGACCCATCTCAAGACCCTCCTCTTCGACCGTGGCTTCAATCTCCCAGAATCCCCCCCTGCCCTCTATCCTCCCCGGCCCCCAGCTTGTGTCCGAAACTCTGTCTGCCTTGGGACATCCTCCCGACGTGAAAGGCGCTATACAAATGTAATTTTGTTGTTGTTATTGTCCCTCCTACCTCTCTGACCTGCTGGCCCCTTATCAACCTGTTTGCTCCCTCCGCTCAGCAAGCTCCGGACTGCTCCATGTCCTCGCCCGGCCCACCCACTATAAGCAGTTGGGCCTTCAGCCTCTCTGCCCCCACCCTCTGGAACTCTATCCCACATTCCCTTTACCTCGCTCCCTTCCTTGCTTCCTTCAAGGCACACCTCAAGAACCTCCTCTTCGACCGTCCCTTTTCCCAACCTTCCTACCCTCTCTGCCCTCCACCCTCCCTGAGCTCTCCACTCGGATCCTAATGACCCTGACTGTTCAGTGGCTTCGGATGTCCGCTTAACAAAGGTAATATTGTATTGTATCCTTCATGCTACAAGGGAACTCTTATCAACTCCAGGTGAAAAAGAACTTGCTTCACAAGGAGTAAAAATTCATTGGGGTGTAAACAGTTCATTCATGTAAACGATTCACAAAAAACGGCAAGGTCCATAAAGGGTCATTGAACAAAAGGTTAGGTTTTGTAATGAAGTGTTTTGCAAATCTCACAAATTAAATAATAATATTCCTTGCGTTTGGTATACCGCCTTAACACATCGGGAGAACATCACAAAGCACTTCACAGGATGTACTGTGAAATGGAGTGATTATGTATTTGTAGGCAAACTGTCGCACAAACAGCCATGAAACAATAGACCAATTTTAGGAATGTTAGCCAGTACATCGGGAGCAACTCACTTCTCTTTTCAAATAGTGCCATGGGATCTTTAACGTCCTTCTGAACAGGCAGACGGGACCTCAGTTTAATGTCTCATCTAAAGAACAGCACCGCTGACAATGCAACACAACCCCCAGCACTGCATTGGAGATCAGATTAGGCTAAAATTAAATGGCTTGCAATATTTGCAAACTAGAATTCCAGTTTACAAATACTGTATCAAAAATTAAGCTAAATATGATCTCATATGCAGCACAAATGAGAAGAAAATCAGCTGACCACAATAGTCTCTGTATGGCACCAAGCTCTTAAAAGGGCAAGAACATTATTGTACACTTGCCCTTAAAAATATCAATTGTTTTGCTACATATTTATAAAGGGAAATTCCATTAAAACAATTCAGTGAAAAGGTTGGCAATTTTAATGACCAGCCAGCCTTTGATAGACTCTTTAGTGTTTTCCATTCTCCCCCATGAATGAGGAATATTTATTTAGATTGGACAATGAGGAAGAATCAATACTGAGAAAATTTCCATATGGTGAAAATACTGTCATTTGCAATTTTAAATTTTCTTTTAAACTCACATTATTGCTAAATGGTGCAGTCATACATTTTCCTTCTCCTCAGAATGACCATTGCCGATTCAAAAAGCAACAATATATTACCACTTCCTTCACATGGAGTCCTGTAGCTCAGTGCTAGAGCACTCGCTTTGCAAGCAAGAGACCTGAGTTCAATTCCAGGCAGGGCGAAACCTTGGGCAAGTTTCCTTACTCCACACGCCTAATAATAATCTCTCCCAAAAACAATAATAATATTGGTCATTTTCAATCTACGACTGTTTGTGGGACATTGCTGTGCGTTCACCCACAAATATAGTCAATTCACTTTACAGTGTGTTCTGTGAAGCGCTTTGGGACGTCCTCCCGACGTGAAAAGCGCTATATCAAATGCAAGTATTATTATTATTATAAACATCCTAAGATTGTATCATTTGTGTCAGTTGATAGAACTCTTGTCCCGAAGTCAGAGGTTGACTTGGATCCAATGGTGTCTCTGCTGACACTCCAATGGAGTACCTGGGTTTGCTAAATTATCAAAGGTGCCATCCTTTGGATGAGATATTAAATCAAGGTCCCATCTACCTGTCCAGGTGGACGTTAAAGATCCTATGGCACCATTCGAAAAGCGAAGAGTGTTTCTCCCTGGTTAAAATAAAAATAAAATTGGGGGGATAATAAAATTCACTCCATGGCTATTTGAGGTACAGTGGAGTGTGCAGATTGGCTGCTGTCATCACCCACAAAATCCATACAAAATGTGCACATTCACACCGGTTTACAGTATATCCTGTGAAGCACTTTGAGACATCTCAATGATGTGATAAGGTGCTATATTAAATACAAGAATTGTTATTATTTTTGCTTGATTTCTACAATGGACTTTTTGACATTTTAAGTTAGAGCTCCAGTCTAATTTCTTTCAAGGTTTCTATGAGACAACACAAGGTCAGCATGCAAGAGTGAAGTCCAAATGTCTAATGAAAGGATTCATGCTTCTTTGTAAAACTTTGCTTTTTTCTGCCGTTTGTTTAAGCAAATGCTGAAATGACTTGAAATTTTTACAAATTCACTTAATTCCTTGCTATTTCTATTACTCTTCCTTCTGGCACAACTGAAAACATGGAATAAAAGTCAATATTTCTGAATAGTAATTTTGCAATTTTCAAATAATTTCCAACAGTGCCAACCTGAATTACAGAAAAGTTGCATAAAATATTAGAGTGAATATAAATTTAAATTACTTACTCTCAAGTTTAACAAGAATCCTCCTTTCTTTACTGAATCCTGAACTGCTGTTTCAGAGTCGCTTAATTTTCTGATTGATTTATACTTCGGGAAGGAAGTATGACTGTACTGAGATTCATAAAACCTTTGAGTCACTATAAGAGGGGTAATGATTTTATCTTGGCCTAAAATCAGGAAAATAAATAAAATATCAGTTTAATAAAGCACTGAAAACTGCTCAATAATGCATTGCATAAAATGCCTCAGCAATCATTTAACAAAGGCTACTAAAATAATCCTGACATAATCAATCCACATAAAATGCTGCATTAAACCTGCAAACGTTGAAAAACTGCAATATTGCATTTATATTTTACAACAGAAATCCTTTGAGTATTTTATATATATATATTACCTGGATAAACAGGTAAATTGTTAAATGTTTGGAGCAAATGTTTTTCTTCCATAGTCAATTCTTTTCTGATACCACTTTTAAAATGTTCTTGTTCTTGTGTTAAATGTGTCCGCATGTAATCTTTGATGACAGCTGCCAATTCTGAAAGGAAATATTGTTAGTTTTGAGAACAAGTAAATTCCAACAGTTGGACTACAAAGGACTATTGGTGATTTTAGTGGTTCTTTCAAATTCCAATAAATAAGGAAATATTGCTTTAAACATCTTGCACGGAGCGTTAGAGCACAAATATCTATAATAATAACCCTTTCATTTGATACAGCACTTTTTCATGTCTTCTAGATGTCTCAAGGGGCTTCACAGAATATACAGTAAAGTGAATTGACTATATTTGTGGAATATACTATAAAATTGACTATATTTTGTGAGCGAAACGCAGCAGCCAATTGCGCACAGCAGTGTCCCCCAAACAGTCGTGTATTAAAGTGACCAATTTTATTATTTTTTTTGAAGGATTATTTCTACTGTAATAACCTCTTGGAATACTCTAAATGAAGTGATAAATGTTCCACCCATGAACTACAAATAAGGGAAAACTAAACAAAGATTCTGTTTACAGGTGTCAGTTGGTATCACTGTCATCTCTGAGTCAGAACACTGTGGGTTCAAGCCACATCTTGAGACTTTAAACTCATTATCTAAGTGAACATACCAAAAAAAAACAATAATAACAATAGTCACTCAATCCACAACTGTTTGTGGGGCACTGCTGTGTGCAATTGGCTGCCACGTTTTGCCCACACAATTTACAGTCAATTCACTTTATGGTATATTTTGTGAAGCGTTTGAGACATGTTGAAGATGTGATAAGGAGCTATATCAAATGCAAGTATTATTATTATTAATACAGTGCTGGGAAGTGCTGCAGTGTCAGCGCTGACACAACATCAACGGACTAGGAATCGCAGCTGGAGGAAGAAAAGTAGATTTATGTGTCACCCGCACACATGTGGAAGTTTACTCTGTGTCTACGGATGACATCACTGAGAGGGAGCATACAGATAAGGAAAAGGTGGGAGCCAAGGATGGAGCTTTGGGGTACTCCACAGATAAACGGGCTGGGGTGGGAGGAAAAACCATTGGCGAGATGAAGTGCTGGCAGTTGGTTAAGTTGGACTTGAACCATGCGAGTACGGTCCCACTAAGGTGGATGAGGGAGGAGAGGCGGTGGAGGAGTATGGCGTGGTTGACTGTGTCGAACGCATTGGAGAGATCCAGGAGTATGAAGAGGCAGAGGGAGCCCTGTCACAGAGAGAGAGAGGATGTCATCTGCTACCTTGACGAGCACTATCTGTGTACTGTGAGCTGGGCAGAAACCGAACTGGAGGCGTTTGAGTAGGGATTGGAGGGCGAAGTGTGAGCAAAGTTGGTTAGCATCAATGCGTTCCAAGGCTTTGGCCAGGAAGGACAGGTTTGAAATAGGACAGTAGTACACCAATTCAAAGGGATCGAATTTACTGAAAAGTGTATTGACTGTGTATTTGTAGACGAATCTGGAAGTGTACAGCAATGTCTGGCAAATAGCCATGATGTGAATAAACAGTTTTATCTGGCGGATTATTGAACAGGGCATCTTCTCTTTTTGAATAGTGCCATGGGATCTTTAACATCCACCTAAACAGATGAATAGGACCTCAGTTTAAAATCTCAGCTGAAGGATGGCACCTCTGCATTGTCATCAAATGCAAAATGAAAACTTTTGGACTTTTAAATGTAAAAGCTACAACTGCCCTATGAGCAATATCAAATGCCAGTGCTACCAGTTGCGTATCACCCATAGTGCAGCTGCCACTGTACTTGGTGTTGAATTGTTCAATAAATTGATTAACCATGGTTTACAAAGCCAATGTTGTTGAACTAACAATGAGGTACAGCACAGATGCCATTGTTGTACTCTCCAAAAAATGCTTCCAAAAAATGAAGACACCGCGTTATAACTGGTCCATTAAAAAAAATGGCTGCTGGTCCTGCTTCCGGTTCATCAGATTATTGCTGAAATGTCACTTCTCTGTAAACACTTGCAAGAGCAGCCGTGACTGACCAGCTGGCTTCCTGTGCCATGCGCTCAAGTGCAGTAAGCTGACCGGTTATCATGATTCTATAGCAGATCCACACTGAAAACAAATTTATACTGTAGTGAAGCCCTTACTAAGAGAGTACCAAATTCAGTGATGACTCAGCAAGGAATGTTACATTAATAATCTCAATGGAAATGCAGGAATGGCTCAATATCCTCAGTGACCCCGTTTCTGGCAAATTTAAAATTATGATTTTAAAAGAACAAAAAATACCCTATAAAATCTATTTCTTTAAAAGTTTCCAAAATTACAATAACTAATTAACTTACAGTACTTGCATTTCTGTCACTAGCTTCAATGCTCAGCTGTTTGTAGGAATTTCAAACTATCAAAAGAATGAATTTTGATTTTCATAATGCTAATACTGAAAATATCATACCAAGATTAAGTTGTCTTTCAGGGATTGGAATTAGTGGCATTGGGATGTAATCTATTGATAATTTTACTTTGTTCACTTCGGTCTGGTGACTTTTCAGAACATCATGGATGAGTATATTTACAAGTTGATGGTGGTTATAGGTGGAATAGATGGGATTTGTCAAGGTTACAGGCTGCTTCAGAGCAAGAGCTTTGCTATCGGATTTCAGAAGAAAATCATCCAATGTGAACTTCGGTGGAGTGTAGTATCGAGGGTCATCTTCTGGAATACTTGGATCTGCTTGTTCACTGAGAAAAAATTTATGGAAAACAGATATATAATGCTTTGGTTTTTCGTCCAAAACGGTTTTTCTCTTCTTTTTGGACTTCAGTTTCTTTGTTTTATAAAAATGCTCCCAATCGGTTATAAAAGACTTGCGTGTACCAAGCATTGGTTCAAAATATTTTAAAATCATATCTGTAACAAAAAGAAAAAAAGAAAGAAGTGTTTTTAAAAATTATAAAGCAATTATTATTAGATTGCAATCATTGTGATCCAGTTTTGTCTGATTAAAAAACAAAATACAATTAACATCATGCTGAAAATAAATGCACATCGACATGACACTGAATTAAAGATTCCTAATGATAATTTTTCCCGGCAAAGGTGAAGGAAGGCAAAGCAGAGACAACATTTTGTATGTGGAAACTGAAATATAGCTAAAGGATAAAGTAGACCATATCAATGGTAGGTAGCCGTGCTCCGCCACTGTCAAGTGCTCCGGGATGCTACCCTGCATGAGGGGCGCTTATATAAATGTTAGCTGTTGTAATCTGTTCTTCCTCATTTGTTCAAACTTCTTATAGAAATAAATTATACCGAATTATATAATGCAATCTATTTTGTTCCTATTATATTTTAATGAAAAAATGTTAAAGCTTTAAGAGTGATGAGGGAAGGGTTGAGTCGGAGGGACACCAGTATGGAGTGCCAGAGAGCAGGGGCAGAAAGGCTGAAAGATCACCCACTTATGGTGGGGTGAATCAGACAGGGGCATGAAGCAGGCCTTTTTGAGTCAAGAGAGGTGATTTTAAAATTATATCTGAAGAATAATGTGATGTTTTTGTCTTCCTATTTCAAAAAAGATATTCAGTTGTCAGATGGAATTCAGTGAATAGCAGAGTATAAACAACAACAGATCACATTAATATAGCCTCTTCCATGTCAGGAGCATGTCCCTAGACAATGGACAGTTGAGGGTTTACACCGGAGCTGGGGGTCGGATTTGGGAGGGGGCCAGGGGGGAAGGAGTAGGGGGGAAAGATGACCAAAGGCATGGTTAAAGCGCAAGATCTTGAGATGGACCTTGAAGGAGACAAGGGAAGGGGCAAGGTGAAGGGACTTTGGGATGGAGTTCTAGAGAATGAGGGCAGATAGGCTGAAAGCCCAACAACCGATGGTGGGGCAGGCTGGGCGGGAGATGGCAACCAGGCCATTGCCTTTGAGCGGAGGGAGCAGGTGGGTTGGCAGGGCTGTGTGGACAAGGATCTTGAACTTCATTCTCTGGATTTATAGTCTGGATTTAGGATAGATTTGTCATTATAGGCTTCCTCTCTTGAATAAAAGACTGGGGTAATATTTGGTAGAAGTTACAATTATGAAGGGTTTACAAAATTTGGATTCAGATTTTTTTTGTCACAAAGAAAATGTGGAAACAAGAAGTCAGAGTTACAAAATAAGGATAACAATTAGGAAATGTAGGAGAATTTATTTTAGTGAAAGGGAAACTAATGTGCAGAACAAACTTCAAGCACAATAAAAAGAAAAAGGAACTATCAAGGGTTTGAAAAAGTCACAAGGCAATTTCCTGAAAATCTATGGGGAGTCATGAGTCAGTGTGAGATAGATAATAATATTATTATTATAGATGTGTCAGTTGAATGGATCTTTTCAAAAGTTGGATGAAAAGCTTGATGCTGTCATGACAAAACATTGTTTTATAGAATGATGACTTGTTTTCCTATGATCAATGAGATATTTCTAATTTTTTTCTGATACTTCAATGTGTAATAATAATTGGAGCTTAGAGTGTTATTGTACCTCACCTACCTATATAAGGTATTTGGTGTATGTTATAATACTGCCCATGATAAATTTTCATAATGTGGTAATGTATGCGAGGATATTGTTGTTGGTATGCATTCTATTCAAGTTATTGGTGCAAACTAATTTGACAAACATGCTGATGCTACAATTACTTTATTTTGAGTCTTAATTAAAATATTATACTTACTAGTAAATGTACTCTCAGGTTCACAAGGTTCTTTAGAACAAGACAGAGGTATGCATTTTGGTGGCAAAGGTCTACGAAGGAGAGGTTGATCCTCCATCCTGGATGCAATTCCAAGGAAGTGTTTGTTTTAATCCCAAGGAAACTGTTTCATTTAAATAAATTAAACATCACATGTTAATTCACTTTACTTCATTTGAATTAAGAGCCTTGTTCTTGTATTCAAATCACTCCACAGTCTCGCCCCATCCTGCCTCTGTGATCTCTTGCAACCCTGCTGCCCCAGCCGCAGAGACGGGGGACATGAAGCAGGCCGGAGCCCGCTGAGAAATAAAATTAGAGAATGCAGGTAATGCACAACGTATGCAATCAGGTTCTGAATGAGAAAGCAGGTTTTGAAGTTTTGGGGGTACGATCCTGCCTTCATCAAATGAAGACCAGAAAATAGCACAAATTATGAGCCATTGGAGGACTTGGTTACATTCTGAAGTAGCCACTGCTTTTGGTTCCAAGGATTGCATAGTGCAGTTCCTTCATGCCTTTATGTAAAACCTTGAATTAATCAACATGCACTGGTTAGTCACTTCCTCACACCACAGGCCACCAAAACCCTCATACATGCATTCATAACATCCAGGCTTAACTATGTAAACTCGGCTGTGTCATCTCCCATACCAGGCTCCGTGATCCTATAAACCCCATCCTCGCCCGACTCCACTGGCTTCCCATCACACAGAGGATACAGTTCAAGATTCTGGTCCTCACCTTCAAAGCCCTCTATGGCCTTGCTCCCCCCTAACCCCCTACCATCTTGTCCACTCCCTCCGCTAAGCAGGCTCCAGTCTGCTTCACGTCCCCTGCCCCACAATTAGCGGGCGGGCCTTCTGCCATTCTGCCCCCACCTTCTAGAACTCTATCCTGCAGGTCTCCGCCTCGCCCCCTCCCTTGTCTCATTCAAGACCCATCTCAAGACCCTCCTCTTTGACCGTGCTTTTGATCACCCTCCTTCCCCCCCTGCACCCTCCCCAACCCTAACCCCCAGCTTGGGTCCGAAACACTAACTGTTCAGCACCTTGGAACGACCTCTGGCCTGAAGGGCTCTATACAAATGCAATTTTGTTGTTGTTGCGGTTTTAGCTGGTTAAATTCCACCAGGACCCATCGCACACACTGGAATCCCCAAACCTTAGCTCTCGACAACCTATGCCTAATACTCTAGTTATTGTAATACACTGGTAAGCAGAGTGGATAATTTGGTAAGAGGAGTGGGGGCATCCTTCTGGAGAGAGAGGGCTCACTCCATCCTGGACACAGGCAGATTTCCATGTTGCGGCAGCAGACAAATGTGGAACTAACTCTCAGTCAGAGAGATAGAGAGGGAGATTGAGGGAAGGATTAGGAAAGAGAGAGATCCAGAGAGAGAGAGAAAGAGAGATTGAGAGGGGGGGGGGGGGGGGAGTGGAAGAGAGAGGTCATTGAGAGAGATTGAAGGAGATTAAGAACGGAGAGATTCAGAGAGAGAAAGAAATAGAGAGATTAAGAAACAACAACAACAAAAAGATTACATTTGTATAGCGCCTTTCACGTCAGGAGGACGTCCCAAGGCACTCGACCGTGTACAGCATTTCAGACCCGAGCTGAGGTCGGGGGGAGGGTGGGTGGGGGGGGGCACCGATAGCATGGTCGAAGAGGAGGGCTTCGAGGCGGGACTTGAAGGAGGCTGAGGAGGGGGGCGAGGCGGGAGTGATCGGGGGATGGAATCTCAGAGGTTGGGGGCGGAGTGGCTGAAGAAGGCTCTCCTGAAGAAAGAGAGAGAGAGAGAGAGAGGGAGAGTGAAAGAAAGAGAGAGAGAGAGAGAGAAGAGAGAGAAAACGAGAGAGAACAAGATTGATTGATTGATAGAGAGAGAGAGACAGAGAGAGAGAGAGAGAGAGAGACTGAGGACCAGTCAGTGGGGGTCCGGCTCCTGGTCTCGCAGCTGCAGGCCCAAGCTCTGGGGTGTAGGGTGGTCCCACTGGACAGAGTTTGCCAGACAGACAGACAGACAGACAGAGATGGAGAGAGAGTGATGGAGAGGAGAGGAGAGGAGAGCTGAGCTGTCCCCTTCCCTACCTTGCCTTGCCTTGCCCACTGCCCGGCTCTCTGTGTACCACCTTGGCCATGGCAACGGCCCATAGCAACCGCCGCAGCCTCGCTCTCAAACGCAGCAGACAGGACGGCCCCAATGTTGGCGGGTTGGGCGGCTTCACGCCCAATTGGGCGGGTTTTGTGTATTGAGCGGTGTGGGGGGGGGGGAGGGCTTTGGGCGGGTACCTCATTTTTATTTTTAAAAATGTTTCCCTTAAACCTGCAAAACGTGTAATTCCCCCCATCCCAGTGAAGACACTATTGTTATAGTTTGGAAAGCATAATATTCGGCTCCTTCTGGGCGAGTATTTGCTGGGCTTTGGGCTGCAAAGGTCTATTAATTTCTGGCAAAGCCCTGGAGCTCCCACTGCAGCTGCTGCACAGTGTAGCGCTGGAGCATCTCATTGACTGCTGCGTAGCTGCAATATATATATATATATATTGGGGGGAGAATGTTACAGAAAACCCGTCAAAGAGCGTAGAGCAGAGGATGCATTGAATTGGTCTCCTCAGGCACGGATTATAGCCGGGTGACTGTCTGCCTGCATCACCCCCTACATCCAATCCCATCCCACTCAGCAATTGGGGAAAGCTAAATTAAGAAAACACACACATACACATGCGGTGTTAAGCACAAGTTCTGTTCACTTGATATATATATATATATATATATATATATATATTTTGGCGCAGTGATGACTGATAAACTTTGCTTACGCAAATGCATCCGATTGCACCGGTGCGGAAGTGACAGAGCAAGGGAGAGGGAAGAGCAAAGCAGGGTACCACCAGCCAGGGCTGTGCAGCTCAGTACATCAGTGGATGCTCCAGTGGGTGGAGGAAGGCAAGAGACAGCAGGTACTCCATACAGACGGGTATGTCCGGAATCCGTCGCTTTGGGCGATGCATTTAATGAAATGCTGCTATTTGGAATAGTTAAAGTGAGAATGCACTGCAGAAATGAGGACTTCAACTTGAGGATTCAGCACTTTGGCTTTGTCGTTGAAGTGGGAAGATGCAAAGGATGTTTTATTCCCATCTTATAGATTTGGCATCGACCGTCTAAAAAATGATCATGTTTTTTGCAAAAAAAAAAGCAGGAAAGAAGAGGTAGACGGAAAATAATCTGATATCGTTTTAGTGTAGGTGTGGAAGAGATTTTTGTGTTGTGTTTTTTGACCGACTATGTGCTCATCTGGTTTGCAAGTGTGTATTAAGAGAAGTTGCAATTAACGACCGGGTGAGTGGGCTGAAGAGGAGGGATGTGGTTCATCGTTCATTTCATCGTCATTCATTTACTCATTGCAGAACAGTTGTGCAATACCCTTACAGCAAGGTTACTAGTCTGTGGGACGTGTGACAGACGTCAAAATCAAAGGCAGTCGATAAAAGGAAATCAATACAATGAGTGGTAACTCATTGTATTGATTTCCTTTTATCGACTGCCTTTGATTTTGCTGTAAATTGAGTTGTCAGATCACATAGTATTTTGTTCCCGCAGATTACTAAATCTAAAGATCTTGGTAATATTGCGGAATTATGCATTAAATAAGGCTGCTCTGTGCATATGTGAGTTCTCGATAAGTAATGTTCAAGGTATTTTTTTAAATGGCTGGGATCAGATCAATTGAAATCCTGAGATTAAATATCATGGTGATTCTGTTGCTGAACTAAACAACTGTATTTATACAAATGGTTAATTTTGCTATGGGTTACAAATGCTGGTTTACAAACAACAGTATTTATTGGGTGAGAATTGCCACACTTACGTGAAACAACAAAATATGGCAATAATCTAATAATATCCTGATTTATTTTCTATGACGTGTTTATGATCTCAAGGGAGCTTTCAATGACGATTTGTTCAAACCGGTTATAAATTTGCAAACAGCATCATGTCAGTTTGATCAAAACCCTTTATATAACGAGTTTGCGTTCCGTGATCTCATATTACGTACAGCCAGTTAAATTGTTTTAAAGATAAGGAGTAAGAGAGAAGGGTGAACAAAAAGGGAAATTATTAAAATATTCAAACCACATCCTAGAATTTAATCTTGCAATTGAAACAAATGTATAAGGTAAGGCAAAACAAGTATTTTACTAACAATATATATATATATTTTAAAAACAATAAAAAGTAATAATAATTTGGTCACTCAGTCCAAGACTGTTTGTGGGACACTACTGTGCACAATTCGCTGCCTCATTTCGCCTACAAAATATACAGCCAATTCATTTACAGTATCTTCTGTTAAGTGCTTTGAAACGTTTCAAAGACGTGATAAGGCGTTATATCAAATGCAAGGATTATTATTATTAATAATAGAAGAAAAATCTCTGAAAATGAATGATGCCATTCTAGTTTTAAAATGATAACTGAAAGATGGATTCCTTTGCAGAATTGACCTGTCTTATCAATGAACAAAATGTGATTCTTCACATTTTATTGAAATTCATTTTAGAATCTATGTGCTTGTGGTTTAATTTGATTCTATTTATTGTTACTCAATCTATAGTTTGTCCCAGAGCTTTAGATAAAGTGAACCTATATAGACCAAATGTAAATTCTAAAAGGAACATGAACTCAAAGCACTCTCCTCTTTGAGCAGGATAGGGTTTCCTTGGAGCTGAACTGGCTCCAAGGTGACATGCTTAGCAATGAATGTCGGAATCAAATCAACCCAGTCTGGTGGTCTCGGTAATAATAATAATAATAATCCTTGCATTTGATATAGCGCTTTTCACGTCTTCTAGACGACTCAAAGTACTTCACAGAATAGAATAGATCAAAATAGACTGTAAAGTGAATTGACTGTATTTATTTTTGTGGGCGTAGTAGTCCAGCTGTGGTAGTCCAGTTCCTGAGCCATGTGGGTCTGTTGTACTCCAAGGCACTGCTGCTTACTAACAGGTAGGTTAGTCTTAGCTATACAAGCTCTCCAGACAGTGCTTTTAAAAGCAATTTTAGCTGGTTAATATACAGCAGTACCCCAACACACACTATGGGATACTAAAGCCTTGGCTCTTGCCAACCTGGAAATAATACTCACGAAGCTTCCATCTGGGAGAGAGTATGCATTTCATTTCAAACATGGGAATTTCACTGTGTAGATGACATGCATGGAACTCTTGGTTTGGTTTGAATTCTCTTCAGCATGTGTCAAATAAATATCACAAATGGCAGAGAAACAAGCAGTTTAGATTTAACTATTCTTTGCGAAGTGTAGTGAATACATGGAACACAGTACCCAGTGAGCTGATAGAAGCTGCCAATATTAATAAATTTAAGAGGGAGGTGAATAGATTTTGGTGAAAGAAAAAATTGAAGGTAGATTATTTAACATTTGTTTTCCAACTTTGAGACTGGCCAGATGGACTGCAATGGTTCTTTCAGGTTCTGTGCATACCTATGCTCTGATGTCCAAGAAAACACAGATCACATCCTACTCTTTAATGCAGAACATTGCATTTGGTTATCCTATGCTAAATTTCTATTTCTGGGACCACAGCACTGATGGTATTTAGTTCTGTCTAAACATTTGTTATCTGTTACAAAGCTGACTACAGAAGTTCTCTTGATGCTATATCTAATAGTCTTTCCTCTTACAAAGGGCAGCACAACAAAACAGTTGCATTTTGTTATTTATAATATCTCATTGTTCTATGAGATACTGTCAGCTAGCTGCCTACCTAATAATAGTCAATGCTCCAAAGATCCAAAGTTATTCAAAAGTAACCCATTGTGTGAAGTTGAAGAGTTTTAACATGATCAGGCAAACAAGGGTATCAAATGGAAACATTTGCATTTATTATTAATACATTAATGTAATTACTTCCTTAATGCAGAAAAATATAGTCAGACATCTGGCTCCCAGCATATTCTTATGAGTACTTGGAATGCCCCAGTGATTTACAAAGATTTACAAAAAATGTACAGCACAGCCCAACCAGTTTATACTCAACACGAGTCTTCAACCATTCCTTACTCCTTCCTATAAACTTCTATTCCCCTGTACCTCATGTCAAGCATATTGAATTTCAAAAGCATATTAGATTTTAATGAAACATACGACTCCTTACATTTGACAGAGCCCCTTTCACATCGAGAGGATATCTCAAAGTAATGACGATGTACTTTGTATGTCGTAGCCAATTGAATAGAGAAATGTCCGACAGACAGCCATACAGTGATTGACCAATTTTATCATGAGGAGTGTTAGCCAGAATACTTGGAAATTCCCTTCTCTTTTTGATAGAAGGGAATAGAGGGATCATGAGATCTTTAATGTCCACCGATGATAGGACCTCAGTTTAATAGCTTATCCAAAGCACACCACCTCCAACAAAGCAGCACCCCCCCCCCCCTCCCCCCACCCCCCCTCAGCACTGTATGGCAGTGTCAGTCTTAGTTCCTAATTTTATGAAATGTCCATTGATGTTCAGACAGGGGTTAAAAGTACCATCAAATCATTTTGTTATGTGGAACTCAATTACTGTACATCTGCAACGTATTCCCCTCTATCGTGACCGCTGTACGTTCAGGATTCCACTCTGACTTACCACTCTATAAGCTACAATATACTGTAATAATAATAATTCTTACATTTGATATAACACCTTATCATGTCTCAAGGCATCTCGAAGTGCTTCAAATAATATAATTGTAAAGTGAATTGACTGTATATTTTGTGGGCAAAAAGCAGCAGCAAATTGCGCACAGCAGTCCCACAAACAATTATGGATTGAGTGACCAAATTATTATTTTTAAAAATTTTGTTTTGAAGGGATTATTACCCACGGAAAAGTGATCCACCAATCGACTAACAGCCGGGTTCCTACTTACTGCTGGGTAAACAGAGGCATGTGGACTAAGGAAACTTGCCCAAAGTTTCACCCTACCTGGGAATCTAACCTAGGTCCTCTCGCTTGCGAGGCGAGAGCTCTAACCACCAAAGCTACAGGACTCCACAGCAAATATAATAGTTAAAAGTCAATGATAATTTCACTGTCACTGCTAATGCAGTCCTCATTGTGCATCGTCCCTACAGGATGCTACAAGCCTTAATGACCAGGGA